TGGGTCACACCCCCACCCCGAATCCCTGGTGTACACTACCACCCTTTGAGCACCATACTTTCAGTCAGTCAGTACCAACTTGATGCTGAGTAGATGTGGAGCCCATTTTCCAGCTCTTGTGATGCCTCACTTTGGATAACGGGCTTAAGCTTAATGCAGGATAGCATAAACGGTGCTAGCTCACTGTCGTTTCTTAGAATCGAGTAATATTCCATTGTGAGCATGTACCAAATTTTAATTATCCACTCAAGAGTTGACAGGCACTTGGGTATGGACATCTTAATGATATTGATTCTACCAATCTGTGAGCAAGGCAGATTTTTCCATCGGTTTACATCTTCTACAATTTCTTTTCTTAGTGCTTCTTAGTTCCCCCTGTATGTGTCTCTCACATCTTTTGTTAAATATATTCCTAGATATTTAATTTTCTTAGAGGCTATTGTAAAAGGTATTGTGTTTTTTATTTGAATTTTGGCTTGACTGTTATTGGCATATATGTATGCTTCTGATTTGTGTGTATTCATTTTGCATCCTGAGACTTAACTGAGTTCATTTATCAATTCCAGGAGTTGGGTGAATCCTTGTGGTTTTCTAGATATAATATATCATCGGCAAAGAGTGAGAGTTTGATCCCATTTGGATGCCGTTAATATCCCTGTCTTATCTAATTGCTCTAGCAAGGACTTCCAGCACTATGTTAAATAGAAATGGAGATAATAGGCAACCTTGTCTGGTTCTGGTTCTAGGTGGGAATGGTTTCAATTTTCCCCCATTCAGTATGATATTGGCTGTGAGTTTGTCATAAATGAACTTGATAATTTAATGATATCTGAATAGATTTTTAATGTAGACAAAAGTGTCCCATTCTGGAAAAAAAATTCCACAAAGGGCATTTATTAGTAAGGAAAAAAGTTAGCACCAGGACTTAAGGCATGAGGGGATAGGCTAACTCTACTATTTTGTGGACATCTTGGAGAAATTCAAAAGATAATAGACATCAGAGGAGGTGTTGATGGAGATGAGTACTTCTAAATCAGTACCAGATGATGAAGAAGAAGATGTAGAAGAAGCAGTGTCAGAAAACAAATTGGCATTAGACAATCTAGCAGAAGGGTTCTGATTATTCAAAATTGCTTTTGCATTCTTTTATGAAATGGGCCTTTCTATGATATGGGAACCGAAAGTAAAGCAAACAATAGAAGAGTAACTACTATCATGTGGAAACAATTTTAGAGAAATTAAAGAGCAAAAAGTCAGACAGAATTTACTATATATTTCTGAAAAGATATACAGAGTGTGCCTGCCTCTCCTGCCTTCCCTTCTACCTCCTCTACCTTTTCTGCTTTTGCCAACCCCAAGACAGCAAGACCAACCCCTCCTTCTCCTCTGCCTACTCAACATGAAGACCATGAAGATGTAGACCTTTATGATGATCCACTTTCACTGAATAAATAGTAAATAAATTTTCTCTTCCTTATGATTTTCTTAATAACATTTTCTTTTCTCCAGCTTGCTTTATTGTAAGAATACAGTAAATAACACATATAACGTACAAAATATGTGTTAATCAATGGTTTAAATATTGATAAGGTTTCAATTCACCGATACACTATTAGTATTAATAGTTATGGGGCATTAAAAATAGTTTTGGGGGATTCAAAAGGTATATGCAAATTTTTGACTATTTGTGAGGTCATCACCTCTGACTTTTACATAGTTCTAAGGTCAACTGTATTTGGATATATCTGCCAGGTGACTTATGCTTTCACAAACTTTGTGTGTCTACCTTTTATTTTGTCTACTATTAATTGCAAGTGATTTTTTTCTTTATGCATGTTCCATTTTCATGAAATTACTCTGATTATTCCTTATGATAAAATAATTGCTCTGCTTTTATTAATTTAAACCCCTAATACACTGCCATTCTATAATCCATATCTGAATCATCCAACAGCTGCATATTTTTGTGGATCTAAATTCGTGGTTTCTTGTTTCTGTTTCTGCTTCTTGTTTCTCATAGTGGTTTGCTTTCTTGTGTGTCTGTAGACTTCATCTGTCAGTACAGCTTATCTTTTGAGTGGAAGACCCGTGGGCTGAATGTGAGGAAGCTTTGCTTCCGCTTCTGCTTCTGCTGCCAGGCAACACACCAGATTCAAGACCACATTCATCTCTCTTCATGGATTAGGCCAAATTCAATTCCAAGATCAGCCTTTCCACCTTGCAAAGGTCCCAGGGGTCAGTACTTTCTGTACTGTTGGTAGCTAAATCTGACAAAGGGGACCACTCACCCCTGCTGGCTGCCTGCCAGTCCAGGCAAGATCTTTGCTGCTCCCCTCCCCCTCAGTTCCCTCCTCTAGTGCAGCTGCTTTGGGAAGTCAGCCCCAATTCCCAGGCACTCCTCCCTCTTCTCCTGACCCCAGTACCCTGGCCACTCAGGACCCAGCTCCTGGTTCATATGCGACAAGAAATACCTTAAAGAACATGTCCCATTAAGTTCCAGATTTCGTGGTGCATGGGAACAGGGTCCTCAGAAAGTTCTTATTTTCATTCAGCTGTGATATTCAACAGAAAATGTACATCAAACACACCTCAGATTATTTTTACTTGTTCATAATACTGAGCCTTATTCTTGGAGGCTCAGGGTGAGATTCTGATTTGATAATTTGGGGTTAGCCTGGGTATTCAAAAAGTTTGACAAGCAGAAACCACATAGATGAAGTACTTCTTCCAGAGCCTGGGTCTTGTTAAACACTCAATACAAAATAGCCACTTAGAGGCATAATAATATGATTCTGTTACTCAAGAAGCCACATTGGCTCCCTATGACTGTCACACCTGTTTAAATTCCTTACTGAGGCTGACTGCCATAAATCATATTCCAGACCCAGTGTGTCTTTCAAGACTAATTCCCACTAAGGCCAGCCAAATTTCTTTTGACCCAAACAAAATTACGTTTTTATTTTTTCCTCCCTCTTTTGACTCTTGGCCTCTTCATTGTGTCCATATTATTTTCTCTCGTTGGATTACACTGGTCTCACATGTCTACTTTTTATAAATTAAAAAACAAAAAAATTACACATTGCACTCACAGATCCCACTATTGAGAAAGACACATTCATTCAGAGCCTCAGTTTGCTGATCTTTAAAATTGGAATACTGGTAAAATAATTTCCCAAATATTGTCAAGTGGGTCAAAGGACATAACTTCATACCTAGAACACAGAAATAATTTAATAAATTGGTTACCTTCTTTCTCCTCCCATTACCAGAAACCCTCTGCCCTGTAGCTGCAGAGTGTGTTCTGCCTGCTTGGAGCAGGCCTCCCTGCTAGCTCCAGGTCATATGTTACTGACCCTGCTGTGATATTTCCCTATTTTATCTAGGTTCTCTTTTAATGTCATTACAAATCTTTCATGCTTATGCTCTATTTCCCTCAAATTATCTTCAAGTCCATAAAAGCAGGTGCATGCTTCAATCTTCTGCTTTTATACTCTGGATTTCCCACCACAGAGCCAGGTTGAAGAGTAGCATATCACCTAGAACGAGTATCGGGGAGGGAGTGGGCTCACATCTCACCCAATTCTGCAACTTGTGCTTGCCAAGACTTTGAACCAACTTTTTACCTCTTCTTCTTATTCATAACATATAATGAATGCTTATTTTACTTGTCTAACTGACAGGGTCATTGGTAACAGGCCATGAAATTAAAGAATATGAACACTGTAGAAGCACTTTGCAAGGCAAAGTTAAAGTTATTCCCTTAAGGTATAAGTTAATAATCTCAAGAGAATTTTTGGTAGAGAAATTGATAACTTTGAAGGATTATCTGCATTTTATTATTAGGTAATCATCTATTAAATATATATATAAAATAAATTGGCCACATTGAGTTTATTTCTGGAATAATCAATTGAATATATGCTTCCAAAAACAGTGACCACTTTGGGCTTCTCTAGCTCCTCTGTCTACAGTTTTAATGAGTCCTCCAATATTTCATTGCCCACTTCCATAATTAAATTTGTTTTCTTCTCACACTTATCGCATGCTAACCTCTGAATATCCAGTTAAATATTGGGCTACTTGTTTTGTCTTCCCATCTTGAAACTGAGGTTATGGGGCAGGTACTATGGTCTCTTTTTTAACGGAACTCTGCACCTAGAACAGTGTTTGGTTATGGAGTAGTCGTCTTTATATTGTTAACAATGCCTTATAAGATGCCTGAGGATTTTCTCAAAAGATAACTGCATTAATAACTACAAATGATTACCTTGATTACTTTTCTAGTAGGACATTTTACCTTAAAATAATAATATCATTTATATGCGTTTACAATGTTCCAGGTAATGTTCTATGCAATTTACCACTTTCACTACTTAATCTCAGAATTATGCTGGTATGTACTATAATAAAATGTATTTTATAGACAGAGGAATCAATGCATAGAATAGTTCAGTATCTCCCAGGAGAAAGTAAAATGCTAAATTCCACATTTGTTGTGTACACTCGTTTTACTTTCGATGATGATTTCCCTCAAAGAAGACAATCTGGAAAGGAAGAACAGCAGATATGGAAATATTTGATTTAAGTAAAATTGTTTCCATTCCTAAAGTGAAGCTGCTTCTACAGGGACATACAGTTCTGGTATCTCCCAGGACTGTATTGACATAGCAGTGGGAATGTTTCAACTAATACACAAAGAAGGAGTTACTTTCTGATTCCGCTTTCTAAATAATGGGAGACTGTTTATTGTGTGAGCTTAGTTGTATACCTATTTTATTATTCCTGTTTTACTTTCAAAGTCTCAATGTCCTCCTGCCCTGATCTGTTCCAAGTGAAGAAAATTTTCCAAGAATACACTCCCCGATGCAGTCTGCATTTCAGTTTAGCAATCTGGTTACTCCTCTGGGGAAAAAAAATATAAAGGCATGCATATACATGTGCAGTGGGTATTTCTCAATATGTGCACCCGCCCTGCTGAAAAGGAAACGAACACACTTACCCTTCCACAGAAGGGTAGGAGAAAAGCCATGGCCGGTGAGTGCTTTACTATTAAAAAGACAGTTCCATGGGAAGAAACAGTTTTGGAAGGAGCTGGTTCTTCTAGAAACTATAACTAGGTTCTTTGGAGATTTAGGTGAGCAGAATTAAGGGAGAGGGAAGAGGGAAGAGGCTCAGAGACTTTCGCAGGAGTGGAAATGCCAGGGCAAAAAGGAACTGGGGCTGCGCTCATATCCTGCTGTCATTTTGCAATCTTAACTGAAGTCTCCAACCTTGTAAATCTGACGGAGCTTGCAGAATCAGCACAGGATGAGGACCAGCACCTGCTGTCCGCAAAGGAAGGGGGCAAACACAGTTTAATTATTTTATTATTCAGAGTTGAATAAGCATAGTGCACAAAAGGATGATCTCTGCTTTTCAGGTACTAAATCGGGGATAGCAATTCTGTCTTCAGGTCACTCCGTGAGCATACATGGGTAACTAGGGGATAGTGAGATGGTGATAGAATAAGGAAAGGGATTTCCCAGCTGTGTAGAGGGATGTTTGACTGATGGAATCTCAAGGTGGCTGTTCCCTGTTGATGACATGGGAGGAAAATGAGGCTGTTTTCATGACTTGAGATGTCCTTGTGCTCCGAACAGACAAGGTCCTGAAGGAGAAGAGGAAGCAGTTTATCCGCTCAGTGGGCACAGGTACCATAAATGGCTTGCTGGATGAACTATTAGAGAAAAGGGTGCTGAACCAAGAAGAGATGGAGAAAATAAGAGATGAAAATGCTACAGCTATGGACAAAGCCCGAGCTTTGATTGATGCTGTCATTCGGAAAGGACAACAGGCAAGCAACATTTTCATCATGTACATTTGTAACAATGACAGCTACCTTGCAGAGAAGCTGGAGCTCTCCCCAGGTAAGGGTCAATGGCTCAGACTAGAGTTCACACATTTCCCGTGTCTCTGTGCCCGACATTTGATTTCTTTATTAGTCACATTACTTTGCAGACAACTTTCTTATCTTTAGCTTCAGGGCCCCATTTCCCGTACCAGTGTCTACTGCATGTCCCATGACTCTTCTTGTTCCTCTTCCTTCTCCCTCAGTGGCCTTCCTGTGATTGAAGCTCATTTCTTGTTCTATGTGGTAGATCACTTGTTAAAGTTCATGAGAGCCACTGGAAAGTGTTCATATTTCATGTTCCAGTCCTCCTGGCAAGGCACATCATTATTATTTTCATTATTATTAATTTCTTTCATTTTGTTAAATCCAGGATGTTTCTGGGCATGTATGTAGTTTTCTCATATGAAGATTTAAGGTCTATAATTAGATAGTTTTTAATAACTTGCATGTAAATTTTTGCTATCTAGGAAGAATAAAATATATTTTAGGGATGGGGAAACACTCAGAGAATAAGTTGAATGATTCTAGAAAAGTGAGGATTTCAAGTGGGCTCTTTCCTCCAGTTGCCTCCTTGCATTTTCATTTGAGGAAGCTTGCCCACTAGCATGGTACCCTACTGCTCGTCATCTGTGAGTCCTAATGCTCCAGCTCCAATCTCCCTGAGGACCTGATATGGGGCTGGGGCTTCCTTCTGAACTGGCCTGAGCTTATGGCCCATAGACCTTCCACATGGGGAAGACGGGAGCTCTGGGGACTCCCAGCCACTCATCTCAACTGTACCTCCCAGAGCCAGTTCAGAGAGAGGTATTCTTTGAAAGTAAGAAACCTTTTTTCCTAATGGTTAGGAGAAGCCTATGCCTGTGTGAGCTGACATTGCAGATATTTTCTGTGTTCATCTACGTGTAATAAATTTCTTGTTTTTTTCATACTTCCTGACAATGAACCCAGAAGTTCTGGAAAGTAATTTTACAACATGTAATTAGATGTCCACATATTTTACATTTTATGCCCCCCCTGTACTCTCTAAAGTGAAGACAACCAAGCAGTAACAACAATGGTTAAGATTAAATGTGCAATAACCAAAATTTCTTCTTCCTTGCCCCATTTCTTTCAACCCTTAGACGTTTAATCCTAGAGACATTTACACACCCCACTGTGATAATTCTAACTCGTGGGGTTTGCCTCTCTAGTTATCAAATGATACTTCCTAATTCAGGATTGTTTTCAGGGTCATGAGATATCATAATTAGATATAATATTTAAAGGTACTCTAATGGGAGAGAACTTTCTAGATAAAAGTCCTTGGCATGTACACTATAGTTATAAGGAGGTCTCCTCCAGAAAATGTTCTTGAAGTTATTGGTGGTAATTGTAGCCCAGCAGTTTAGATGGGCTAGATGTGACAAACCGCATCATGCTGCCTGGACTTAGTTTTGTAGGACATTCAATGACATTAACAGCAAGAAATGGACAATATTTTTTCCGCACGAATCTTGTCTTCAACAGGTTCTATAAAATGAAGGCAAACTTTTAATTTGTTAGTTTGTATCAAGTTTTAACCCTTTGCACTCGGATGTCGAGTGTGACTCCACACGCTAGCAAAAATTATAGAGATTAAAATTACTCTTTGAATGTATCAATAATTTGAAATATAAAAAAATCCAAATAAATAAATTTGTATGAAAAGAAATTCCAGTTTTTTATTCTACTGCCATGCTGTGTAAAATCTGGGGTATTTAAAAAATTAAATCCCCAGTAGAATAAAGGAATCGACAAAAAAGCAAGTGAGTGCAAAGGGTTAAAGTGTTCAGAATAAATTTCTCAAGTAGATGTTGTTATATTGAGATCCTGATAAAACTGCAAATAGAAATAAATTCAAGTCATATACTTGAAATTCCTAGTCATCCAGACTCTGGTAGAAATATTAACAATAGTTTTGAGTGATTTTATACATTGTTCAATTGAGGGTTACCAGCACTTTCCTTTTCAGAGTAGCGTTCAAGGTACTGACAGGCAGATTGAATTTACCTGGAAGATTGTCTAGAGATTGTGGTCAGAGCTCCTGTTACATACATTGACGTGTGGCAGCCTTGTGGGCCATCTGGCAGAGTGGCTTAGTGATGAAGAGCCCAGGATTGATAGTCAGGATGGATTTGTGCTCATATCCAGGCTCCAGTACTTTTCTGCTCTTTGACATTTAGGAAATTTGCTAAACTATTCTGACATAATGCATTGCAGAGCTGAATGAGCTCATGCTTCTAAAGGGTCAGACATTATTATTATTAATTTTATTCCTCTTATAGTTTACAGTGACGAAGTATAGAAAATGCCATTATGGTATAGAGCAGGGGTCCTCAAACTTTTTAAACAGGGGGCCAGTTTACTGTCCCTCAGGCCGTTGGAGGGCCAGACTATAGTTTTTTAAAAAAACTATGAACAAATTCCTATGCACACTGCACATATCTTATTTTGAAGTAAAAAAACAAATGGGCAAAAACACCCGCATGTGGCCCGTGGCCGTAGTTTGAGGATGCCTGGTATAGAGAATAGAGAACACAGTATAGAGAATAGAGAGTAGTGGGGGATAGAAGTCATATAGTAAAGTTTACAGAATAATTTCCTGTAACTTTCACATATAGCATAGCATTAAACTTATAAAATAATCTAGCACATATGTCAGGAGTCCCTCTGGACCATAGAAATTTTACTGGTTCACCTGAGGGGAGATCATTAACATCACTGAGTAATAAATTTGAAAATGTTTTTTAGAAATTTGTGATGGAATATTACTGACTTTGCACGAATATCTGTAATTTTAAGATGAAGAAAGCATTAGTATTAACCTTTTCTTCCTAAAAGAAGATTTAAAAAGACCTTGTGAGTCCTCTGACCCCATTCCTCCCGGGATCTAAACAGAGTCCTTTGAGAACTTCACTGATTAATCTCAGACATGACTACAGAGTTGAGAGCATTTGCTGCCCGCCCAGAGCACCGAACCTCTTGATAGCACTTTCCTGATGTTCATGTCTCATGGGATTCAGAAAGGTATCTGTGGGAAGAGATACTCTGACCAAGACCCAGATGTATTAGGAATCAATGAAATATTTCGAATGTTGAATACCTGTAACTGTCCAAATTTGACCGATAAACCCAAGGTGATCATCCAGACCTGCTGTGGTGGTGATGTCTATGAGACACAAGCCATTCAAATATTGACCTCATCATCTGTATGCACCTGGTATTTTTCTATTTTTTTGTGTGTGTTTCTTAAAGTCTAAAAACACGTACTGTCACTAGTCAGTATTGTGGCTTCTCTCAATTGTATAGATGGTTAGTAGATATTTGTTCCATGTTCAAGCTTGAAGCTTTGAGGTCTGGATGTTGTTAGAATTTGAGACTTAGGGGAGATAAGGATCACGTATATTAATTTATTTGCCTGTATCTTTCATACACATGTGCATAAACACATACATGTCAGGAATTATCTTTTCAATTATCCTTATTTCTGCTATGAAAGTAGAGAAGAGAGTTCTGGCAGAACTATCTCTAATTAGAGATTAAGATGACAGTGAGACATTGAAGGAAATACATCATCATGGTCGATCCACACAATTTAAATCGGAAGCACAAAGTATTTGGGTTGTTATTTTCCTTATATTGGATGCCATTCTTCGTCTGTTTAAAGTGATTCCAATTTTCCCTCTTTCTCTCTAGGTCTGGTACTAACCTCTCTAACACAATAGTCCTTGGGTTGCTGTCACACTTTTTTAGCTGGCTTCCCTCTCTCCAGGCCTTTGCTCTCCAATCCATCCTGCACACTCCTTCTTGTCTTATGCACAGAAGCTGAAAAGATGTAAGAGATCAAGTCCTTAGCTATTTAGGCAGCTGGAATTTTAACCTGTCATATAATTTCTTTGGATTCATTCTCACTTGAAAAATAACAGGTTAGACTATACCACAGATTTGTAAACCTTATTACATATATGAATAATCTATAGTCGTATAAAAAATCAGATTACTATCCCTCCCTGACCTGGCACAGCTCAATCTTGAATAGACTGCAGGCACTTCTAATCTTTAAAAGATCTGCAGATAATTCTTATGTAGCTGGCCTGGTATAGCTTTGTCTACAGATTAGAATTCATAGGAAAGATTATCAGTTAGTTAACTCTCAGTTCTCACATTAGGTATTTATTACTGTAAATTTCTTACTCAGGAACATAAAATGTCTCCATATTACTTTTTAAAAACTATTTGAATTTTCCAGACAGATTTTCTACTGTTCAACATGTATTGATGCATTTTTCCACTAATATCTCCAAAGCATGATTTCTGCTTCATATAAAAGCAGATATTTACTGTATTTACCTCACTGATACTTTCTTGTTATTTGTGTTTTTTTATTCTTTTTATTCTTCCTGTAGTAGAGTTTTTTCCAGGGTTTATTTCTCACCTCACACATTTAACTTAAGCTCCTAAAATGCAGGGATTGATTGTTTTCTTTTCTTGTCAACTTCATGATACTAGTAAAGCATTTGGCTGGGGACAGAAGTTAAATGAATATTTATAGCTACCTCTTTGGCTAGACAGGCCCATTTTACTGGTTGTTGGATTAGAGACAGAGGATCATCAGATAACATGTGAGAAATTGAAGATTCTAGACAAAAAAAAAAATAAAGTGGTTCAATAATTATAAACAATTGAATGTACTTACCTATTGTTAACTGAGGAATAGTATCCTATTAGAGTATTACATTAATTTTTCTGGGAACAAATCTATGGTCTTGAGGAATTTTATCCTCCAAATTATTCCCTCCATTTTTATTATCACTGCAACTTCAATTCAGCATTAATTGTAACAACAAAAAATAACCCTGTTTTTTTTAATAACGACTGTTTTTTTAAACACCTACCACATGACAGTTAGATCGTGCACTGTCTTTGATGGAATATTTTAAACTATCCAATTCAGTTTGTGCTATTATTGGTAGATGTCGAAGAAGATACTTTGAGAAGGAAAACATAATTTGTCTTGGGTCAAATGTCTAGTGAGAGGAGTGATCCCAGGTTGGCCTGACTCTCAAACTCAAGGTCCTGCCGTTACTCCAATTCTGTGTAAAAATCTTCAAATAGCTGCTCTGTCTGTGATCACTCCCACTTCAGTCTGGACAGTCTTCTACCTACAGTACTATTCTTTCTAAAGCCCAAATCTCCCAGCTTCCTGGTTACATCAGATGCCCTGGAGGCTTTGTGACTCTGCCCAATTGTTCCCTACCGAGAGTGCAGCCCCCGACTTCTCCAAGGGGCAGGCTCAGACCAATCCTTCAGGTTTCATTTCCCAGCCTTCCCTCCCTTGAGGCATGCTTCCTTGTGCATAACACCCATTATTTAAGCTGTTATGGTACTTTGTATTTCAATTATTTCTGTATATGTCTTTCCACTCACTTGAGAACTTTTCTGTTTAGAAACGTCTTACCAAAATGGTACCCTCCTAAAAATAACAGAGTATCTTTCACAAACAGATACTCATTAAATATTACTGAATGGATTTGAGAATGAACACACCTTCCCTCCGCTTGAAAACTCTCCATGTGAACTTAATGGCCTGTTAAATAAAACCAAACTTACTTGGCTTGCTATGAAGTAGTCTTTAAGAGTTGGGCCACACCTAAATTTTATCCATTTGTTCTTATGATCTTTTGACTGATGATTTGGTAGATAATTATTGATAGATAATTACTTGACTAATGATTTGGTAAATAATTACTGAAAGTTAGAAGTAGTGCAGGCCTAGTTCATGGCCCTTGGCCTCATAGAGCATAGAATCTAATGGTGGATGCTGATAATTAGGCTGAGAATCACAATTACATGGAATAAAATGCTGGCCTAGGGAGAAACACGGTGCCCTAGCAGCACAAACTTCTGAGACTCTATCTAGCCTGGAAGTGTCAGGGAGGATTCCCAGACAAAAGTGCCATCTAATCTGATACTTGAGGATAAACTCAGAGCAGTGGGAAGACAGGAGGCATTGAGGGTTGGGGGACTGGTACACAGAGATCCCTAAGTAGGGGCTTTATAGAAACTGAAAGAAGAGCATAATGATTAAAATGTAATGAGCAAGGTGGAGACAGTATCTGAAGATGAGGCTGAATGAGAAGCCTGATTAAGCTGAGAGGTTCCCTGATCAAATTTCCATATTGGAACACTCACTCTGCTTTGTTGTTAAGAAGAGATTAGAAGGGCAAGAATAGATTTATGAGGTTCTTAGTATAATTAAGAAAATAAAGATGTTGGCCTGAATAGAAGTAATGAACAAGCAGAATTGAGAGAAGTAGTCAGATTTTGTAAATATTTAGGAAATAAAATCAGTAAGTTTTGAATTGAGATGGAAAATATGACATAAAGAATGCAGAAGGCATTTAATGTCACCAGGGTTTGCTGCTTTCTTGTACTTGGAGGTTAGATTTTATTTATTAGTATGTGGAGGAGGGAACAAAGGAGTGGAACAAAAAAATGAGCAGTTCAGCTTAAAAAGTTGAGTTTAATGAGTTTTTGGGATATGGAGAAAAGATGTCTGGTTGCCTGTTGGATGTGTAAGTCTCAATACTGTGATCTACATCTGGGCTGAATCTATAAATTTGAGAGTCATTTATTTACTTTTTACGGCATGTAATTGATGCCCTGAAAATGTATATATTATGGGGAGGAAAAAAAACCTCAGGCCAGCCTCTTTGGCTTTTTTGTTGTTGTTACAATTTATTTATTTGATTGACAAATAAAATTGTATGTATTAAGTATAATGTGATATTTTACAATATGTACATGTTGTAGAATGCCTAAATTTAGCTAATTATCATAAGCATTACCTCATATGCTTATCATTTTTTGTGGTTAGCACACTTAAAATTCAGTCTCAAGCAATTGTCAAGAATACAATACATCATTATTCACTATATTTACCATGTTGTACAACAGATCCCTTATTCCTCCTATCCAATTAAAATTTTGTTTCCTTTGACTAACGTATCCCAAACTCCCCATCTGATCCCCTTTCTGATCCTTGGTAACCATCTTGGTAACCAAACTCTTCTTTTATGAGTTTAACTCTGTAGAGTCTACATATAGGTGAGATCATGTGGTGAGATCATCTTTTGGTGAATGGCCTAGCTTATTTCACTTAAAATAATGTCCTCTTTGTTCTTCCATGTTGTCACAAATGACAAGATCTCCTTCTCTTTTGAAGCTGAATAGTATTCCCTTATGTATATAACCCACATTTTCGTTATTCATTTATCTGTCCACAGACACTTAGCTTGATTATGTATCTTGGCTACTGTAAATAATGCTGCAATGCAAATGGAAGTGCAGATATCTCTTTGACATACTGATTTCATCTGTTTTGGATATTAACACTTAGTAGGATTGGTGGATCATCTTTGAGTTCTATTTCTAATTCTTTAAGGAGCCTCCATATAGTATTTCACTATGGCTGTACTAATTTACATTCCCATCTATAGAAGGGTTCCTTTTATCCACATCCTCTCCAACACTTTTTGTCTTCTGTCTTTCTGATAATAGCCATTCTAATAGGTCTGAATTGATAGCTTATTGACGCTTTAATTTTCCTGATGATTAGAGATGTTGACCACTTTTTAATATATCTGTTGCCCATTTGTATGTCTTCTTTTGAAAAATGTCTATTCTGGCCCTTGCTCATTTTGTGATCAGTTTGTTTTCTTCCTATTGAGTTGCTTAAATTCATTATATGTTTTAGATATTAACCCCTTATGAGATGTATGATTGGCAAATATTTTCTGTTATACTATAGGTTATCTCTTCACTCCATTGATTTTTTTTCTTTGCTGTACAAAAGCTTTTTAGTTTAATACAATCCCATTTATTTAATTCTGCTTTTGTTGCCCATGCTTTTAGTGTTGTATCTAAAAAAATATTCCAATGTCATGGAGCTTTCCTCCTATGTTTTCTTCAAATAGTTTGACATTTTCACTTCTAATATCTGTCTGTAGCCCATTTTAGTTGATTTTATATATAGTAAGTGATAATAGTCTAATTTCATTTCTCTGCATGTGGCTATCAAATATTCCCAATATTGATTATTGAAGATACTGTTCTTTCTCCATTGTGTGTTCTTAGATCCTCTGTTGCAAACCAATTTACTGTAAATAACTGGAATTATTTCTGGGCTTTATTTCCTGTTCATTGTTCTATATGTCTGTTTTTATGCCAGGATTGTACTATTTTTATTACTATCATTTTGTAGTACATTTTGAATTCAGGTAGTGTGATGCCTCCGGGTCTGTTCTCTTGACTCAATATAACTTTAGCTATTTAGGTTTTGTTGTGACTCCATATAAATTTTAGGATTTTTTTCTATTTCTGTAAAAATGCCATTGGAATTTTGATAAGGATTGCATTGAATCTATAGATCACTTTGGGTATTATAGATATTTTAACAATATTGATTTTTCTAATCCCTTAAAACAAGGTATCTTTCTATTTATTTGTGTCTTCTTCAGTTTCTTCCATCAGCATTTAATAGTTTTGAGTGTATTGGTTTTTTCCACCTTGGTTAAATTTATTCATAAGTATTTTGGGACTTTTTTAGCTATTTTAAATGGGATTGGTTTTTTTCTTATTAGTTCTAACAAATTTTTGGTGTAGTCATTAGGGTTTTCAATATATAAGATCATGTTATCTGTAAAGAGGTGCAATTTATCTTTTTTCCTTCTAATTTCAATGCCCTTTTTTTCTCTTGACTAATTACTCTGGCTAAAATATCTAGTATATTCAATAGAAGTGGTGAAATTCAACACTTTTCTCTTGTTCCTAATCTTAGTGAAACAGCTTTCAACTTTTCACTATGAACATGACATTAGCTATCGGTTTGTCATATGTGACATTTGTTGCATTTTAAACCTCCTTAGTTTTATTGCTTGCCATATTTCTCCATATTATTAATTCAGCCAACACTCTACAAGTTCACTGAGCACATAAATAAATAAAACAGAAGTCCAAAACTTAGGCAAAGTGTGTATTTCACATACTAACTTGGGTGCTGTTTGCAAATCTTCAAACTCTTTGTTCCAATATTTTCACAGTATTTCAAAACTAGCATTTTTGCTACCTCTTCCAAAATGCCTTTGTGATCTCCCCTGCTGGAATTTACTTACCTTTTCTGAGACCCTTAATTATCTTGTTTGAATTCTCTTAAGTAGATCTCCACCAAGTATTACATAATGTAGTTTGATGATTTAAGAGTGGAGGCTCTGGTTTTTAAACCCCTGAATTTCAATTCCTGCCTCCCTGTTACTATACATTCTATTCTTTTTACACAACTTGGATCAACTACTTAACTAATTGACTAGTGTACTAGTGACTAGTGTACACTAGTACTAGTGTACTAGTACTAAATGTATTAGTTAGCGCGTTTCCTTTTCTATGTAAAAAGCATTAATGTACTTTTACATGGCATTTTCATGAAATTTCAGTAAAGCACTTGGCATGATGAGGGCTCAGTGAATATTAACTATTACTACTGAAGCTGAGTCATGGTTAACTATATAGAATATGGTGTAAGAATAGGATTATAATCCTAATTTGTGTGGTTTGGGGCAAGTTATTACTTAAGTGACTATTAGAATAGGTAAAGGTTCTAGCCAAGTCTTTGGTCGTGGGTGTAATTCTGAAGTTTTCCAGCATAATGTTGAGCATATGGAATGGAGGATAGGAAGAACCCAAGCTATTTCTTTATTTCTTAGTTTCAATGAACACACACACACACTCACATATAATGTGTGTGAATCACTGTTATTTAATCAGAAAGATAACTACTTGGATCCCTACTTGCCATGGGAGATGGCTTCGAATTACCATGTACTAGTCCCTTCCCTTTTGTATCAATTAATTGGGATTTCAAGCATTTAATTACATAACAGATTAGAACCAGAAATTAAAATTTTTATCTAAACTCTTAATTTCCTCACTTTTTTCTCTTGCATTGACAGGCTAATTGGAACTCCCTTTTGTCAGTGGACTGAACCATACCATATACTATTTTGTGATGCAATAATCTGCTGTAATGCTAATTTTACTGTTGGATGTAAGACAGAGATTCTATCTAATTTCTCATTTTACTTGAAAACAGTATATGTATACATAGACACATAATGGTCATTAGGAGATGACTGTTACACTAGAAAGTAATCCAAACTTATAAATAAACTAGAAAAAGAAAACTTTTGATGAAAAGACATACCCTTTGACCAGGAAATATCCTAGGACCCTGGATGTCTTCATGTTGGCAGAATTTTCTGGAATAGGAGGGAAAAGCATGTGTCACTCCTTAATCTATGAAAAAAAATGCTCAGAAGTTTTGTATCCTTACACACTCTTATAACTTGGTGCATCCCAGGACCTTGGGCTTTCATCATACTTTTTAGAAGGACATTTTTTCAAAAGTATTATTAAAACATAATGAAAACAAGAGATGAAATAGAAAAAATTATAAAATAAAAAAATCTGAAAATTTTATATCAGATAATATTACTTTCTCATTTAAATGAAATTAACCAAAAAATGTCTAAGTTGTCCCATGTAACTGAACAGAAATAACATGACTATCCATTCCGATCATGGCAAGAAACCACAATAGTTTAAATCTTGCTAAGCTTCTCTTCTAATTTCTGTTTATAAATTCCTTTTCCTTTCCTGTTCTACAAAAGGCTCTGGAATTTCTCAGTCTCTTACACAATCTCAGTCATATAAGGATAAGCAATGCTAGATAATATTTACATTTCTCTAGGAGACAGATGAGAAATACTCAGAAACAAACTTCTCCAAAACAGATGTATTATTTTCTTGCATTATAAAACATGGGATGAAAAACTTAGTGTTAGTTGTTCAGCACTTTGGAGGCAAGATATCCAGAGTTAATCAAAGTATCTAACAACAACAACAAAAAAATTGTCCCTTTGATCTTGGATAAAACACTATCATTACTATTCAGCATTTTTCCTTTAAATAGCTGACTTTCTATATGGTGAGGTATGATTGAAGCCCATTTCCTCTAGAAAGGTTAAGAATTCAGTTTAAGATTCTGAAAAAATAATAACTGGATTGTATAAGATTCAAGAGTCTGATAAATGTTACGGTGTATGAATGTATCTGCATGTGCTGTTTGGATCAAGAGGGGATTATCACTCCAAAATGGTACTTGTACCATCTAATATCCTATCCATATGTGGCTATTAAATCCTTGAATCTTGGCTAGTAACACATGTTGAAATGGTAATATTTTAGATATAGTGTGTTAAATATAATGGGTTATTAAAACTCATTTCACCTATTTATTTTTAATATTTTAATGTGGATATTAGAACATTTAATGTTGCTAATGGAACACACATTATATTTCTAATAGATAGTACTCTGATAAATATTTACGCAGTATACTCTTGCTTAGAGTATATAGAAGGTCCATATAGATGAGTGAGTACCCTAGAATGGTATTATTGGAAAAGTCAAACTGTTTTTCCTCAATATAGATTTGACCCCAAGTTATCAAGGTGTTTTCCCCAGAATTATCAGAATCTATTATAGCATTTCTGGTTGGATCTGCTTTCTCTGTCAGGTACTTCTCTGTTTTCTCCCAGTAACGATGTATCTACTTATACGAGAGGGAGAGGTTAGATACAACTATAAGCCCTATGTGCAAAAAGTCTTCTTCCCAGGACTTCCCACTCTCTCAATCTTCTGAGGTGATGAATTGGGTCACCAAGGCAGAAACCACAATAAGTATAATGTTATATATCCTGCAGCTCCTCCGGAAATCAAGGCTGGACCAGCTGAGTCAGCAGAATCTACAGATACCCTCAAGCTTTGCCCTCGTGAAGACTTCCTGAGATTGAGTAAAGAACGGGCTGGAAAGGTACCGTGCTCTATGCATGAGACAGAGATGTGGCAAGAGACAATTGCTATCGCTTAAATGCACAGTTTCTTAAAGCACTAAATAATTGGTGGTGAAGACTGTGGAAACTTTTTTCATATATCTGAGGAGAACAATTTATGTATTCACACACCTATTTGGGATTTATGGGAATTTCAACTATAAGCATAGAATCAAAATATGTGTAAGATAACATGGCTGAGTAGAAACTGTTTCTACCCTAGTTGAAAGACCTGGATATGAAACATATCTTAAAAATATAATTAAAGCTTGAAAAACATTATGAGTTGATATGTTAAAAATAGTACGAAAACAATAATTCTACCACAGCCAAATAATCTTTGGTGTATTCATTATTACTGGAGTCAATGAAAAATGTCTCTTGGTTTTTATGAAATTTGATCTGAAGCTTAGATGCTAAGCAAGACCTGACTAGGTGGAGAAGAAAGGAGAGGATGGGTAGGAATTATTCTATTTATAGTTTGTAAAGATTCTTGAGTTACCTTTCCAAATATATCCCTGTCCTTGCTCTGGGCTCCTGAGAGAGAGGACGGCAGGGTCTCCTGGTAGAGGTTGGGGGAGAGGGTAGCTGTACGAGGCTTTAATAAAGCAACACTGCTGGGTATATGGGGTTTCAAAATAGAATAGGGCAGAATCCAACTCACTGCATATCCATCTCCTGCAGATCTACCCCATAAAGGAGAAAAAGGATCGCACTCGCCTGGCTCTCATCATATGCAACACAGAGTTTGACCATCTTGAGCGGAGAAATGGGGCTGACCATGACATTGTGGGGATGAAGGGGCTGCTTGAGGGCCTGGGCTACAGTGTGGATGTAAAAGAGGAACTCACAGCCAGGGTAAGGGCCCCTTGCCCACCCCAAACTCACACGTATTCAACACTCACCCTTCCACTAACTAGGCAGCTTTAGAAAACCTCAAATGCTTTAACATCCTCAGGCTGTATTTGTAGGTGCAAAATGAAGATATTGTATAGGTAAAATCTGTGTTTCTTTTGAATTCCAACCATCACAATTCCATGAAACTGGACAAAATGTGATTGACATGTGTTTTCACCATTCTTGTTGAATTCCAAAGTGAGGTGACTGTGAGTCAGCCCCATGATTCCCCAGACAACCTGAGTGGTGACTGTCAAGCAGAAGTGCACTCATGAAACAAATACTGAGTCCTGAACTCAGTGTCAGGAGCTTTTCCTGCCACCTGGGATGGGCCTTTCAGTGAGACGGGAAGCTTCCAGCTCACACTGACCTAGGTTAGAGTGCAGAGGGACAATGAAAATATAAGCAAAACAAACAATTTCAGAGATTGTGTGTGTGCATGTGTCTACATAAGCTTGATCACAAAGTCAAAATAAGTGAACAGAAAAGGAAAAAGGAAGAGAGAATTGGGGTTGGGGGGCACCTTTGATGGGGTGGTCCAGAGAAGCCCCTGTGAGGAGATGGCGTGGAAGTTGAGTCGTGACTACCAGAAGCAGGTGGCTCTGGAAAGATGTGAGTGAAAGGCCTTCCAAGTAGGGGGAGCTACATGTGAAAGGGCTAAATTGGAAAGGTAGTGGCACAGGAGAGGCATAAAAAGACCAGTGTGGCCAACCTGAGGATGGAGCAGGGTCAGGCCAGAGGTTTGACTTTATTCTAAGCACAGTGGGATGGGTTTGAAAAGGAAAGTGGCATGATGATGCTTTTATTACACATGATCTGTGTTAGGTAATAAGAGAAAAGATGGAAATGGACAGGAAAAGGTAATATATGTCACATATAACAAAAGACAGTATATTGAGAAGACAGTTTCTGGTATATCAGCAGCAGGAGAAGGTTGGAACCCACTGTCCCATTAAGAAGGAAAAAGACAACAGTTGTCATCACTGAGTCAGGACTGTGTGAAGGCCCCATGACAGAATGTCACATGCGTTTCTTGTGCTGCTCGTGGTAAATCTAGGAGGTCAGATAGTTGTGACACTTGCTCTACTGAAGTGAGACATTGGTCTTCTCCAGGATATGGAGTCTGTGCTGCGGGAATTTGCTGCCCGACCAGAGCACAAGTCCTCAGACAGCACCTTCGTGGTGCTCATGTCTCATGGCATCCTGGATGCAATCTGTGGAACGAAGCACAGTGAGGGAACATCGGATGTGCTGCCTTATGACACCGTCTTCCGGATACTCAACAACCGCAACTGCCCTATTCTAAAGGACAAACCCAAGGTCATCATTGTCCAGGCCTGCAGAGGTGGTGAGTTCTTGGATGGAAAATCCAAAAGATACAAAGGAGTTTGCAGAGACCTTTGATGCATGGCTTATATCTAAGGGAAACTATCTTAACCCACCCAGTGCAAATCCACTGCACTGAATGATGAGGAAACTCTGTCTAGGGGGCTGGTGTCATTATGATTGCCTGATCAGCTGAGAAGTTTCTATACAATTTAGTCCAGGGGAAGTGGTGAAGGAGATCATCAGAATCCCTAAATTGAAGGTAAATGAAATATTCACAACTTCGAATGGAAGCATTTTAGTGGTAGCTTGTCTTGTAAATGTTTTACAGACATTTTGAAATTATATTGTTTGAGAAGATTTACTTTTGAATGTTGGGCCATAATATAATAGCAGCACCCTTTTTTTCTTCACAAATATTGAAGGGGAGTGAGTATGAAGTTCAGGGGGCTGGGGGGGCACTGCTATCAAAGTTTTCTTTCTTTTTCTTTTTTTTCTTGACATCCAAAATATCATGGCTACTGGAAGCTCTCTTTAAATAAAAAGCAGAAATAATTCAGCTAAAAGCTGGTAACTACAAGATGATGTCACTATAATTGGAACATTACTCAATGGCATTAGACAGAAGGTAAAGTGGTCTGAGTGTGTGTATGAAACTATTAATAGTCAGAATGAATATTCGAAATGAACAAGGTAGACAACTGTGATAGTCACTCTGAGGGAGGCTCAGCGGTGTGTAGCAAGTTCATGTCTCCACAGCAAACCGTGGGGAAGTGTGGGTCAATGACTCTCCAAAAGCCTCGGCAGACAGCTTCTCACAGTCCCCTGAGAACCTGGAGGAAGATGCTGTTCACAAGACCCATGTGGAAAAGGACTTCATTGCTTTCTGCTCCTCCACCCCACGTATGTAACTTTTAGAGGCATTCAACGATTTGTAGGCTTGAAGCTACCTTTGAATGGTTCTAGAAAAATCAACATAGGCTCTGGGCAAAAATGATCTGAGAAAAAGGTTGAGTTTTGTCAATATATTTTACATTATCTTATCTGTGCTGTAAGAACAGATTCTACTCTTCCCACACACACTGTTAAAAATTATACTTTTTTTTCTTGGGAGATATGAGCTGGCAGGTGGCCTCTAGTCTGCCATTTTTTTTTATAACTTTTGTATTTTACAGTCAATGGTACACCAAATAAAAAAGCAACCCAATACAAGGAACCCCATTCACTAAACTTCATTTATACATCAATGATTGATTCATTTTTTTATTAACTCCATTTAATATTTTAAGTATTGATTTTGTGGATCCCAGGACTGGCTGGCCTTTCTCAAATTACCAACTCCAAGCCTTTTTCCTCATATTTTCCATCTGACTCTACATAGAGTGATGCCATTTCATGCCCCAGTAGGAATGTGGATGTGCTTTGAAAGAAATAGACAATAATAGAGTAGGACTGATTAGGTCCAGTACAGGGAACAGTGGTTAGCTTTTTACCTCTAGTTAATCATCTTAAGGACCTTCACATTTGACTGTTTCAAATGTGCAAAATTTGAAGTCTTATTCTTTTAAACCACTTTATTGAAGTATAGCAAAACTGTACATATTTAGTGTATACTACTTAATAGATTTGTAGATAACAATCCACCAGTGAAACCATCACCACAATTTATACCTTCAACATATCCCTCCCACCAAAAGATTCCTGCAGCTCTCTATTAATTATCATCATGCTTTTATGTTTGTGTATGATGAGAACACACATATAAGATCTACCCCCTTAGGATGTATAAATATTTATACATGTATAAATATGTATACATGTATACATATTACACACATATATACATATACATACACATTATACATACATATCACATATATACATATATATATACATTTACACACACATATACATACATATTGTACATACATGTGTGCATATACATGTACATATATACATACATATTATACATATACATGTATAATATATGTATTACATATATACATATATATATGTAATATATGTATTACATATATACATGTACATTTAAATATATAATACAGTATTGCTAACTATTGACACTATACTGTACAGTATATTTCTATGACTTACTTATTATCTTCTATAACTGAAACTTCGGTTCTGTTCATCTATTTTGTTTTTTATGTTGTTAAAGACAGCATGATGTAACTTGCAAACTGCGTTGGACCCAGGTGGCCATTTTTGGTCGCTTACTCACTGTGTGAACATGGGGAATTTCCTTTACCCTTCAAAACTTCTATTCTTTCTTCTGTAAAGTGGGATAATCCCATTTATGTCAAAGCTGAGTGAATGAACATAAGACACATAGTAGAATTTCAGCTCCAAGTGTCCAAATGTAATCACTCTGTAATTTCTTGCAGCTCTGACAGGCCGACCCTTTAATTCAACCTCTGCCAGCTTTTTTGTTTTCTCTATGTGGAAAATGAGTTAATTTCAGGTTATAAGTTCTTCTATTAAGAATAATTCCTGAGCTATGCTTTTCTTTTTACAAATGGCCAAAAAACAAAAATGTAAACAGAAAATAGTGAAAATCAACATCCAAGGCATAACAGTTTCTATCGTTGTAGATAACATGTCCTGGAGAGACAAAACAAAGGGCTCCTTCTTCATCACACAGCTCATCACATGCTTCCAGAAATACTCTTGGTACTGTCACCTACTGGAAGTATTTCAGAAGGTAAGCTTCTCTTTCCACTACTCGTCATTCATTTATTTGTTCAGGAAGAATTTATCATTATTCACATTTCAAGGGACTTTGTCAGGCAAGCAAAAGTAGAGTGGTAGCTCTACCATGGGTATATGTCATCTAGGGGTTGAAATCTGGTTTACAAAAAGATGTCAATATATCCCAGGAGGAGACCAAAGTAGGACAAAATGATATAAACCATAAACTTATATGTTATAGGCTATAAATTCTTAAAATTCAAAACACAGAAAGTTTTTTTCATTGCTTAATGTATTAAATACATATTGGGTAGTCTGCTATGTAATGGGCTCTATCCTGGTGCCAGGGGGTAAATGGGGGACGAGTACATAAGCCTACTGAGGACTCACACTTTTGTAATATGAACACTAAAAAAGTGGATCAATAAACAAATGTGTGATCACAATTTGTGATAGGATCCATAAAGACATGTAAAAGAAAATTAAAATAATACATTCTTTGAGTGGAATGGTCCAGAAGGGAAGACTTCATACTCCTTCCCCAATGTGCTACACTCCTTAGTCCTCCTCCTTCTCCTTGTATATTTTTCTTCATAGTTCTTACCAGCACCCAGTTATTTTTATTTTATTTATTTGTCTGATTTTTTTACCTGTATTACTCACTAAATTGCAAGCTTTATGAAGGCAGGGATTTGCTCAACACCTCAACATGCCTGGCACATAGCAGACTTCAATTAATATCCACTGAATAAAAAGATACATGAATGAGTACATACATGCTCCCCACTTTTTTTTAGAGGAATAGGACTGATATTAAGAACATGGGAAACAATTATGCAATTGTTTTTAAATTCAAAATCATAGAGAACAGTTACACTATGTTGGGGAAAGAGAAATACACCTTTGGTAGATTAGAGAAGATTCCTTGGTAGCATGAGTCAGGTTTCCTATGAATAAGGATCTAAAATGTTAAGTTCTTCAGATGAATAGGAATTGGATGTTATAGTTTCAAGGGTGTTTCTAGACAAAGACTAGAAACACCGGATTTAGGGTAAGTGGGATCTCATTGATCAGTCTATGCAAAAGACTTCAGAGATCAGCTTGGTGGTGAATATATGAAAGTTTCAGTGTTCAGGCCTTAAAGACAAGATCCTGGGAATTAAGTCTCCTTAAATTGAGGAGTCAGCCTTGATGAGGGTTGAAAATGGGGGATTTTCCTTATGTATTTCTCATCAACAGATCCAAGGGATACTTGATTGTTAGATCTGTAGGTCAGAAATGAAAAATAGAGAAAATAGAGGTTGAAAGGCCTTGGATTAAGCATGAGATATTTATTTTGAGTTAAAAAATACATTCTGGCATAAAGTATCCTTTCAAAGAAGCATGGTTGGAATTCTAACTCCGGTAAGTGACATAGAATATCCACGGGATTGTCCCATCAACCCCAGGAGCTCTTCTCATTCTTGGCATTTCCTGGTTCATGGGACAAGATATTTTCTGAGATTTCAAAAGAGTTATATGTCATCTAGAGCAATGGTCCCCAACCTTTTTGGCACCAGGGACCATTTTAATGAAAGACGATTTTTCCACAGACCAGGAAAGGGAGAAGGTTTTGGTATGATTCAAGTACATTACAATTTATTGCACACTTTATTTCTATTATTATTACATTTTACATTTACATATTATTACATTTCATTACATATATAATGAAATAATTATCTAACTCACCATAGGTTGGGGAACCTTGATCTAGAGCCTCTTTTTCTTTTTAGGTACAACAATCATTTGAAACACCAAGTGTTCGAGCCCAGATGCCCACCATCGAACGACTATCCATGACAAGAGACTTCTACCTCTTTCCTGGAAATTGAACATAGTAAGTATGGAGAGTTGCTGTGCATAGGTAAAATATATGGGAGAGTATTGCTGGTGGTGAGGTCCAATGACCAATGGCAGCTGACTGCTTGGATGGTCAAATTAGTGCTCTTTGTTGACATAGTTTGGTGATTCTTTGCTATTTTTTTTTTTATTCTACCTTTGTGCATTTGCATTCTTCCCATCTCTACAATCAACCAATTAATCAGTCAAAGAGGTAAGGAAAACCAAGGCAAGATATGGTAAATAATGAGAGACCCAGGATAGCAATTATTAAAATTGCAATGTACTCATTATTACTTATATTCATTGATCTCCCATACTCTCTTTCTCTCTCACAGACCTACACACACACACACACACACACACACACACACACTGAGTTACCAAACATTGCATGTGAGCCTGGAAAAAAACAGAGGAACTAACTATGGAGGAAGCAAGACTTTACTTCTCTAATGCAGATATCACATTACTGACATTAAGCTGCCATTGCCAGACAGTAAAAAATATATCCTGGATTGTAACATTTGTGTGGATGCACCCTCTGGTTCTCAGACTGTTCTCAGATTGTTCTCACAGTGCAAATCACAGGTCACTCAGAGTCTACTTTCAGACCTTCAGTTACTTCTGAGAAACTCCTTCAAGCTCCCATGTTAATACTTAAGCTTTTTTGGTTTTGATCAAAATATTTTAGAATGGGTATATCAAGTTTAGACCCAATGATTACTTTTCACCAACAACAGCTTTATATCATACTATATTAAACACATATTATTAATCTCTCTCTCACAAACATACTTTAAATGACATTTTTAGAAAAGTTTGCCTCAATAATTCAAATATTTACCACATAGGCATTTACTCTTGATTTCTGATACCCCAGTTGCAAAATACATAAATATTTCACTCAACAGCTTCCAGTGCCTAATTCATTTAAGAGGACTACATCTGAACTTTGGACTGTCTATTTAATATTTTTCCACACTTACCATGCACCAGGTTCTATTCTGGATGCTTGGTATAATACCAGTGAACAAAATAAAAGATTCCTTACCCTCAGAAAGCTGATATTCGAGTGAGTAGAGACAGACTCTGTCTGAATACATAAACAGGTAAATATATCATAGGTCAGAGAGTGATAAGAACTAAGAAGAAAGCTAAAGGTTAAGAGAAATACAAAGTGATGGATGTTGTACTGCTGTAAATAGATTATTCAAGAAAGCCTTATTTGAAATGATGAAATGCAAACGAAGAACAAAGAACAGTGGGGGAGTAAGCTATGTGGTTCTTATACAGTAAAAGTGTCCCAGCACAGAATAAAGCAAGTGCAAATACCCTGGGACAGAAATACACTAAACTTACTTAAAGAACTGCAAAGACAGTGTGAGTGAATGAGAACTGCAGTGGGGGAAATGGCAGAGACAAATTCAGTGAAATAGAGAGAGAGCTGATCCCATGGACCTTGGTGATCACGTGGTACATACATCTTTTAAAATTTTTATACTGAGTGAGATGAGAAACTCTTGAAGTCCTTTTGATCAGAGAAAAAATAAACTCTAACTTAAGCTTTGCAAAGATCACCCTGAGTGCTTTATGGTGAATAGCCTACATAGGTCACAGATGGAAGTCAAGGTAAGAGACAAGAGCTCACGGAAGTGGACAGAAGAAGAATCACGAGGAATGGGACGAAAGCTGTAATGGATAACCATCTTGACTTGTTTTTTCTGTCTCCTTCAGGAAACCACAGGCAGCCCAGCCTTCCTTTATCAACGCCAAGAAGCACCTTTACCAGTACTGCGCAAGCATTTAACCTTTTGTATTTCAATAAAAGTGAAAACAAATGAAGCTGGGTGCAGGTTGTGCTTCTTACTCCAGCTACTTGGGAGGCTGATGCAGGAGGATTTCTTGAGGCCAGGAGTTTGAGACTAGCCTGGGCAAGTCTCATCTCTTGAAAGAAAAAAAAAACTGAACTGTGTCTTTTTAGGTTCTCTAACAGAGAACAGAATTGCAATTAAAATGACGGGTGAATGAAAATGAAGAAGAAGCTAATGGTATTGTCTAGCTTTATGGCTCATATAATATCTGCACTTCACTGAGTGAAGAGAATTGGCTGCGATTTACTTTCAACAATAGGGCGAAAGGATATTGTGCCTAAAACTACAATGAGATACCACCTTACACACATTAGAACAGCTACTATAGAAAACAAAAACAAACAGAAAATAACAAGTGTTGGCAAAGACGTAGAATAATTGGAATCCTGTGCACTCTTAGTGGGAATGTAAAATGATACAGCCCCTGTGGAAAACGGTAAGGCAGCTCTTCAGAAACTTAAAAGTGGAATTATCATATGATCCAGAAACTCCACTTCTGGGTACAGACCCAAAATAATTGATAGCAGGGCCTAAAGGTATATTTGTACATCCGCGTTCATAGCTGTATTACTCACACTATCTAAAATGTGGAGGAAACCCAAGTATCCATCAACTGGTGAATAGATAAGCAAAATATGATATATACATACTCACGACAACCCAAAATAAAAGATGGAGGCAAAGTTCTCAATCAAAGGAGGTTTATTAAGCCAAAGTTTGAGGACATGCCCCAGGAAAAATACAAACCATGGAAGTATCCATGGCTGTTTCTGAACGGGAATTTGGGAACTGCAGCATTTAAGGAGGAAGAGGGTGTACGGAAAGAAAAAAGAGTAGGGGAGTGGGCAGTGAGGCAAAATGGTAACATTCTTGAGATGCCCAGGAAATCTACATTTTACATAAGATAAGGTGAATAATCTTAGAAAAGAAAAAGGAACTGAAGGGAGCATTAATTACGTAGATGTCCCTGGGCAGGTAGAAGGATGTTTGATATTATCTCTGTTCTGCACCTGGGAAGGTAAACTTGTAATTCATTATGAGGGTGGAATGGAAAAGACTTTAGTTTTAGAAGGTAGATGTAGCCTGGAGTCTTAAAGTTACAATTTATATGTCCTTGCTTATAAGAGGCCAGCAAGGAATTTTCTTGTGAATGATCAGTGGGGGCAGTCCTTGTAGTTGCCTGAGGTCTTTCACCTGTCATTAGGGATCTGGCTGATGGATAATGTTAGGAACAGCTATTCATTTGGGAGGGGGTGTTGCATAAGTCAACCTTCAAGCTTGACCTTCCTTTTTGCATAAGGAATAAGAGTGGTGGTCCTGAGATTTTTCTTTTCCTTTACATATATAATGGAATACTATTTAGGCTTAAAAAGAAAGAAAATTCTGACATATGCTATAATATGGATGAGCCTTGAAAACATTATGCTAGGTAAAATAAGCTAGTCATGAAAACAAACAAACATTGTATGATTCCACTTACCAGGTGCCTAGTGAAGTCAAATTCTTAGAGAGAGAAAGTAGAATGGTGGCTTTTAGGGGACTGGGAGAGGAGCGAATCAGAAGTTATTATTTAATGAGTATAGAGTTTCAGATTTATAAGATTAAAAGAATTCTGAAGGTAGATAGGGGTGATAGTTATGTTACAGGAAAGTAATTCCCAATTCTAGAGATCATGTGAATTCCAAGTGGGTCCTTGTCTTCACACAAGAAAAAATTCAAGAGGGAGCTGACAGTGTAAGGTGAAAGGGAGTTTTATTTAGGAAATATAGAAGAAGATCTACTCCACAGAGTAGAGGCTAATTCTCCCTGCTGAGGAGAACAGCACTTTTAGGTTTTTTGTTTGTTTGTTTTTTGTTTCTTTTAAGCAAAGTCTTGATCATAAGCTAAGCAGGAGAAGAATATTTGTTATTTCTTGAAAAGGGGTGGTGATTTGCTAAAACTGGGACCCCTCCATTTTTTTTACTTTATAATGTCCCTCCTGGAACTGTCATGGTGCCGATGGGGGTTTCTTTCAGCATGCTTTTATATTATAACTAGGGTATAATGAGCTGCAAGGTTAAGCAGCTGCCAATTTCCTTGCCATCTTGGTTTTGACTGGTCTTAACTTCTTCTGTCACTGCATCCTGTCTTTGATCAGAGTGGTTAGGGGATTTTGACTCTGTATTAAGCAGTGCCTGCCAGTTCCCTATCTCAGTTACAGGAAATTATGAATATATTTAATACCACTGGATTGTACACTTAGAAAGGACTAAATGGTACATTTTTTGTTATATTGATTTTGCCAAAATAAAAATTTAGAAAAATATGATAATATGGTCAAATGTGAGAAAGACAGAGAAAATTGCTTGACGGCAACTATTAATAATCAACTCACATAGAGGAGAAATAAGCTGCTGAGCCACATCGATGGAAAAAGAAAAGAAGCTTAAATATATTATTTAATGTTTAAAAATTAATCAACCAAAGAATTGAAAATCACATCATCATTAAATATTACGAAGAATTGGATAGAGATGTAGCAGCTACATTTCATTTATATGAGGTAGTCAGTGGCATTGTTTGTATTCTATATATCTGGAAATAGATAAAATAGGCATTATTGGGAATTCCAAATATCACCACCAGGAAGCAAAATAAGAAATAATTTATGGAAATTACATCTAGTATGGGATACTGAAGGTGGGGAGAGTTGTATTGGAGAATATGGTTTTTACTATATGCCTTTCGGTACTATTGGATTAGTTATATTGTGAATGTGTTAATTTGAAAATACATTTGACATCATTTGACAATTTGACAATACAATAGCATTGACTATTGTTCCCAAGGCAACCAGTCAGCTGGGTGTTTCTTCTTGTCTCTGCTGGAATCATTCCTGTGTCTAAGATCAGCTCCACATAGGGCAGACATCCCTACTGACCAGGCTGGAATCTCTCATATGTTTGGAAAGTATCAGGCTGGGATGGCCTTGGTTGAGACAACTGTGCTCTTCTCCATGTGATGTTTCTTATCAGCTAGAGATCTAGCCCAGGTTTATTCGAGTGGAATTTCAGATGTCCAAGAGGAAGAAGTACACAGGCTTTGTAAACCCTGGGCAGGGAACTGCAGAAGGTCCCTCTACTGTATCATGTTGGCCAAAACCAAGTCATCAGGCCAGTTCAGAGTGAAGGCAAAGGGCATGGATACAAGCAGACCAATGATTAGGGCTACAGATAAAATCAGCATTGTATTAAATGTTTTACCAAAGTATAAGAAAGAAATTCACAAAGAATTCAAGCTAGGCATAAATTCACAAAGAAATTCACAAAGAATGCAAGCTAGACATATAATTGTGGTTACTTGTCCTGTGAAACGAAAGAAGCTGGATCATGATTTTCAACAACTATCCACACAAGCAAGCACCTTCAGAAGAACCAAAAATCAGTTAAAAATAGCAAATTAATGAACATTCTGGGAAGACAGCCGACCAGAGACACAGCTTGTTAGACTGTCCCAGCAGAAGACTAGAGGATTGGACTGGGGAGACTGGAGAACAACTACTGCTCTGGATGTGGACCAGGGGGAGATACAGCAGAGGAGTCCAGGGGCCCCACCAAGAGGAGCTGCAAAGCTGACAGAGAGGAGGATAGAAAGAAATCGGTGGAAGGGACCAAATCCAGGAAGGCCCAGAGCCCAGTGAAAGGGTAAGGGGGGCTCCTCTCCCCCAGATGGGTGCCTCTAGCCAGCTGCAGGACCCAGGGCTCTCATTCCACGGAGTGTGCCATGAGGGAACAGAGAGCTGGCATTCTTGCATCGGGACACCACCCCCTGTGCACCTCCTCCATTCCTGGCATCCCAGAAAGTAATTTTGCCTCAAGTCAGCTTCTAGCCAGGGCCCCCATGCCCTGCAGAGCAATCACAAAAGTGCTCTGTGCTAAGAGACCTGTCACTTGGTGACCAGGACATATTCCCAGCTGAAGCTGCCTCGGAGAGCAGGGTCACTGTGGCAGAGCTGCACAGGCCACCTGCTGGCAGCTCCACCTGGCCATCAGGACCCGGTAACCCCCAGACACAAGAGCAGTGCTGGGACACCACAGCCCCTGCCCCCACCATAGTGGCCACTAGAGTGCTCTGTGCTGAGAGGCCTGCTTATCAGCCATGGGAGCGTGTTCCCAGCCAAGCCCACAGGACAGCTGCAGTCTGCAATTTTCCTGCCCACAGACGTTTGGCAAGATCGCCCGCTGGCGGCTCAAGACAGGGAGGCTGAACCTGGTGTTCCCCAGTCGTGAGGGTGGGGCGGGGAGACGTAAGGGAGAGGACGTGGTTCCAGGCTCAGGTGGTGACAGAGCCCTTGTAGCCATATTCAACAGAGGGTGCGGAGGGACACAGAGGAGCAGGGGTCTCAGAGCACGTCCCATCCCCCACCCCTGCTGGAGAAAGGCCACATTGGAGAAGGCACTGGGACTGAATTAGCTTCGCCCCTGGTTCCCATGGCAACTGAATGCCTCAGACACGTGGGACAAAAGGGAACAGGGACCCCTCCCACCACTCACTACAATAGGGAGTGCAGCTTGATCCAAGAGCCTCCTGAGCTGCTGCTTCTCCTCTGGTGGGGACCTCTACAGATAGAGAGCCCTACCTACCTCTCCTTGGGATCTAGCGGTGGAACAGGGCTGCACAACTGGAGATCCCCCTACCTGCCAGCATCATGCAGAGACACATGCCAGCAGGTCAGAAACATGAACTGTGGAGTAGCTCAAGAGCTGGTCTTGGCCAGAAAGGGAACACATGTGGACTGATCAGAGGGGGGAGTGCTGTGGAGTTCCAGGTAGAAAAAAGGGAAGGCAAACACCCCACCCCGCAGAGAAACTGGGCTGGTGGACAGGGATGGAAAAAGCCTGGTTTAGGGCCTTAGCAATCACGTGATTAGCCCCTCCCCCACCCCCTTAGGAGCAGCTCCCTGGGCTTGGAGAGATCACCCTGAACTCCATACTAGCATCTCCCCTTAAAGCCAGGATAAGCAACCTCTGAGCCCCATTGGGGCTTAGCAAAACTCCTAAAGGCTTTTGCACTCCAGCCACGATCTGTCTTGTGCCTTCCCTATCTCAGGCGGAGTAGGGACCAAGTAAATCCTGGGAGCTACAGGGTTTCTTCTCCTAAAGCTTGGAGTATTCATTTGCCCCACGTGGTGGTGATCTAGTATCTTTTGTAACATCCTGGGTGTAACTGGAGACCATTCTTCTACATGAAGTATCACAAGAATGGAGAAACAAACAACACATATACTCAATACTGAAATGGTACTAATTAATCAACACTTACATGCGCATAGGTAAGTAAAATTCAATGGCAATCAAAAAGGTGGGAGGGAAGAGGAGGGGTGGGTAAATTCTCATTGAATGGGTACAATGCACACTATCTTGCTGAAGGGCACAATTATAACTTCGACTCAAACTGAATATATAAATTATAGCAAACTATGTAACCAAAATGTGTGCACCCCCATAATGTTCTGAAATATATTTTAAAAAAGGAAAAAGAAAAGAAGCTGGATGGTGCTTTTCCATTTTATAAACTTCTCTGTTGTTTAATATTAATTGCAAACACATATCTAGTATTAAGAAAGAATTTAAGTGGAAGAGTCTCTTATGTATTTATCAAGCAAAAATACATGCTGCAGTCTCATGGATAAACTATACCCCAGTTGAGAAATAAGCATATGTGGAGAGGAAACAGGAAAGAGATTACTCATTTGGGTTTTTAAAGCAGTGATAGAAGGATCACCATTTGGCAGCCCTTAGCCAGCGGCTCTCCCTCCTTACCTTCCACATTCACACTTCTGAGACTGAGCAACAAGTGAAGCCTTTCTGCCATTAGAAGCTGGTGGTGACAACAGAGACAAATAGGGGTTACGTTGATTTGTGAACAGTTTTAAAAATAGACTGGAAGGCAATGCAAAGACTTGCATTTGAATGTGCATGCTTTGATTCTGATAACTTTGCTGTTATCAAAGAGAAAAGACACCTTTTGCTTCCTGTTTTCCAAAAGAACCTAGTTGCATATTAGGGCGGGGATTCTGACCCTATTTTGGCAAAGCACAAGAGAATTTGAATTGCTGGAGTTTCCCACATAGGCAGTGTCAACAAGTTGGTCCACTGAAGGGAGAGAAGGGCTGTGAAGACAGCTTTCACTTTCAGATCTTCTGCTCCAGGGAGTGAGAGCAGTCATGGCCGGTGAGTAGCTCCCGGTTTTTCCGTTTATCGCTGTATTTTGAGGGAGTTACAGTCCAGGAGAAAGGAGGTGTAGAGGGGCTTCTCAAGAGATAAAACTATTTTACTCTGGGAACAGAGGGAGATATGGGAGTACCGCAATGAGCATGCAAACAAAGTGTCTTAGTATACAGCAGAAAGACAAATGTAACAAGTATGAATCTATGTTCTTAAACTTTTCCTATGATTTTAGGCTTTTCCTTTAACCCATACTGAAATTTAACTCAGAAATTCTCACCCATTTGATGGACGTTCTGTTGTCAGAGTGAGGAGCTGTGCAGTTAGTTGAGCAGAGTAGCTTGCATTTCCATTGTATTTCTGCTCTCTGTATGACCTTTCATTTTCCGTAACAAATGAATCAGCTGCAATTTGTGCTCTAAGTCTCTGCGTCACTGAGCTGGCTTCCTACCCCAGACAAATAGAAACAAAAATATATGTTTTACAAGTGCAATGTGTTTCTGTTTTACTGCTGTAGGTATTGAATATGCCTTTTTAAACTAGCTATTGATAAAAAGGAAAACAGTGAAGGGATCCCAGGCGATGCAAGGACTAAACTAAGTCAGCTATCACTAAGTTCTTTAGTAAAATCATTTCATTTCTCTAAACTTTTTTTCCCCCATTCGTAAAAAAGAAGAGGGTTGGACAAGATAGGAGCTACACAAAGCACATGTGGTCTTTGAAACAGTGGTTTTGGCATCACCTGAGAAATTGGCAGAGTTCACAAAAGTTCATACACCCCATTCTGACCTAGCAGATCAGAATTTCAGGGAATTAAGTTCTGCTTATCAAGCAGAACATAGAAGTTCTGCTTATCATTCCTTCTAGGTGATGCTAATACACACTAAAATTTGAGAACCACAAACCTAGAATGGGACATCAAAGGTTCTGTCCACATCTAAGATCCTGTCATTCTCACAGCTAAGGGACCGCCCAAAGAAGACCCAGTCAACAAGGTGAAATTGATGGCCAGGAATGTGCTTGATGGCATTTTTGATGACTTGATGGAAAACAGAGTGCTAAACAGAGATGAGTTACGAAAAATAGGAGATGGTGTGAACCTCATCATGAACAACGCCGAAAACCTGGTTGAGGATATCACCGGGAAAACTCAAATGGCAGGCAAAATATTTATGGAACGCCTCTTCAAGCCAAAGCAACTGAGTTTAAGTGAGTAGTGCTGGCTGGCCAAAGAGCTAATAACTCCCTCTTTCTCGACTGTCATTATGCAGTTTTCTTTCTTCTCCATTTCTTCTGTTTGCAAATGGAGAATAAACAATCCCCATCTCTAAGACCTTCATGCCTATCTGTCTTATTTACCACCAAAATATGCCCTGATCTACCCCAATTACTTTTATACTGCTACATATTAATATTTTCTTTTTTCTTTAACAATTATTACCCTTAATCGCTTCATAAAATTTACTTTTTCATTATGTTGTTATGTCTCCCTTTGCTGAGATGTAAGCTCCATGAGGCAGGGATCTTTGTCTACTTTGTTCATGAATGTATCCCAGACATTTAGAAATCACATCTGAGACTTCATAGGTGCTCAGTAAATATTTGTTAAATGAATAATCGGTGCTGGAGCCTTATTAAATTAAAAGAGGGCATAGGTAATTTGAGAGTTAATGGAACATAAGTGGTTCTTTCTCTCTAGAGCACAGATTGGCACAATTTTTCTTTGAAAAGGAGTAAATATATCAAGCTTTGTGGACCATATGGTCTCTGTCATGACTCAAGCCTGCTATTGTTTCATGAAAGCAGCGATAGACAGTAAGTACACAATGAGTGTTGATGTACTTCAATAAAATTTCATTTACAAAAACAAGTGTCTAGCTGAATTTGGCCTGCAGGCCATAGTTTGCTGACCCCTACATTAGAGTGTAGTATATAAATAAGCATATTCCCAATCTTACAACATCCCTTTAGAATTATTTTTGTTGTGGAAAGACTATCTAACTTTTATACACAGATGTACTTTCCTTACTCAGAATGAAAAATGCAATTGGAGAAAAACCTTGATTAAACAATTTGATTATTCCTTGAATTATGTAAGCAGAAAGATAACAAGCTCTTTTTTGTTTCATAGAAACTCTGCTTCCCTTTTCATTTAGCAGAAGGCCTACAGGTCTCTAAAACAAACTTGGAGGTTAGAGAATTGGCCAAATCTCTGTGCTTCATAGAGTAGTCCCAAACTAAGCACGGTCATTTATTTATACTCATCAGTACAAGGGGAAGAGCTTGAAGTGGGTATGTTCTAGAAACTTAGTTCTGTTAACAAATCTGTTTTTATTATTATTTCAGCATATCCTTCTGAAAGTGAGGATGATGAGTCTCAGGAAAACTCTGCATCATCTTCCTCTTCGACAGGTAACTGCCTCCCAACCCCAGATCACAATCAAAAATTCTTAGACCTCTGTTGACATAAGAAGGTATCCCAGTAAAGATCTAGGAAACCTGTGTTCTCAGTCAGTCTTCACCTTTAGAAATGACCTTTAGAGTAGAGCACTGATTTTAACCTTTTGTTCATTCCACCTCAGAATCTGAAGAAGAAAGTGAAGAAAGTAGAGATGAAAAAAAATGTACATCAGCCAAGGCAATGGCTGTCTCTCCTACAGGTAAATTGCCAACAAACTGATTGGTTCTTAAGAATCCTCCAAACATCATTTGGGTTATGTAAGACAACCCTACTAGGGGTGGATGAGAGTGTGTTATAGTGGAAAGACCACTGCACTGAGGTTCAGACAGCATGGCAAGCTTATCTCTCCCTTCTGCTTCTACCAAAGTCCCTCAAAAGTAAGGTTAGCACTTATATCCTTGCCCTTCATTTCTCCTCAGAATCCAGAAATGAAGATGAAGATGAAGATGAAGAAACTGAGCAGAGTGCTGGATTGGCTCAGGCATCAATTCTAGCACTGACAGGTAATTTCTATTCATGGACACATAATAATGACATAATGACATTATTTGAGCTAAGGCAGATTTTAAAAAGGCCCTATGCTGTGGAGTAGTAGAAAAAGAACGGGACTGAAGGCCAGGAAATCTATATATGTTGAGACCATCACTGCCACGGACTATGTGCTCCGATGTAAATACCCTCACTTTTCTCAGACTCATATTTTTAAATGGGATTATTGATATCTTTAAAATAATTTATAAAAGACAAAGATATAAGAAACTACCAACTGCACAAAACAGAATAAGGATGTGGTTAAGCAAAGCACACGCAAAAGAAAAAAGAAGAAAAAAAAAAAGAAAGAAAAAACCCAAACAACTCAGCCTGAGTCACACTTACTATGTGGTCACCAAGGAAACTGATGAATTATTGGGCTACATTAAACAACTGTAGTCGGTCTAGAAAGGGGGCTAGTAGTAACATTGTCTTCTAAGTACCGTATTTTCAAGCTTTGAAAAAACATTACAAGGCATGAGAACCTTATAATCTTTTTTCATGGTTATATCCATTCAGCATATACTAATTGGAAACCTACTGTATGTTGTTTTAGTTACTGGGTTTATAGCAATAAGCAAGATTGATAAAGATCTTGCTCTCATGGAGTTCACAGTGTAGTTAGTGAGAGGATATATATATATATATATATATATATACATGTTTATTATACATATATAATAAACATGTAAAAAGTAAATGCTATAATTTCAGAGGATATATAAGAGAAAAGAGGATTAGACATAGAAAGGAACGTTGGGTAAGGTTGGGGTGGGGAGGGATTGATCAAGGGGAGGCATGTGAGTCAGGTTGCTTAGCTATGCCCTCTCCATGGAGGTGCTCTTTCAGGGCATACTCCAACTATGGGGAAGGAGTTGTGCCAAACTCTAAGGCAAAAGAGTTGCACAGAAAGGGGAAATGAGAGCAAGGATTCTCAGACAGAAATTGTTGGTCTTATTCTGTTTAAAGGGTCAAGGCCAATCTGACTGGAGAGTGGGAAATTAGAAGCAGTGTCATTGCAAGAGCTGTTTAAGAGTCAGACTCAGGCTATATACTACTTAGGGCCTTTTAGTCAGTGGAAAATAATTTGGATTGCAATTGTGATAGAGAGCCTTTGATTTTTTTTTTTTTTAAGGCAACTGTGTTATTATCACTGGCAATCCTTACAAATTCCAGGCATTTCACACAGCCTCTGCTCAGCCCAGCCATCTACGTCAAGATCCGTCACTAAAACAAGTGCTTAAAGCTGGTGCTATAAATATTAAAGAATACTTTCGTGCAAGCTAAGTTTTCGATCTTAGCTCTAAAATAAATTGACATTACACAAACAAAAGCAATGCGAAAAATAAGAAATTACCCTCTCTGGTTATGAATTGGGCACTCCCATTTACCAAAATGTAAATGAAGTGGTTCCAGCTGAGAATCTTTTCAGTAACTGTTCATGCGAAAGGTAACTTTTAATCTCCCACTTTTCTTTCTCTGCCTCATTCTTTCTTTCCCTTTCTTCCCTTTTCTTACCATCTTTCCTATTTTCTTTGCCATTGACATCTATTTCTCCTTTCTCTGTTTTTTCCTCTTTCTTTCTTGTTTTTCTCCCTCCTTGCATTTACTTTTATCCCACCATACTCTCAATTCTCGCTTCTATCTCCCTGTCAATGTTGAAATCATTATGTGCCAATAGAACCAAGTAAATTGCAACTACAAGGACATGACCTGATGTCTGGAGCAATAATTTATAAATGATGAATTTTGCCTTCTTTTATACTACTTTAGAAGTTTTTAAGAAGAGGAGTGATAGGATAAGCATAGAATCAGAAAGGCCAGTTGAAAGCTGTTTAAATATTTCAGTTAGGAGAAAACAGCTTTTAAACTGGGGTTATGGCAATAGAGTTGATGATAAGTGGTTAAATTCGGGATCTATTTTGGAGGCAGAATCAGTGGAAACTAATTAATGGATTGAACATTGGATATGAAAAAGAGAAAGGAATCAAGGATGACACTAGGTTTCTGACTTGGAAAGTGGGTGAATGGTACCATCTACTAAGTTGGAGAAAACTGGTGTGCAGGAGAAACAGATTTCTAGGAGTGGACAAATATCAGGAATCCTGCTTTGTACATTTAGTTTGAAGTGTGTCACCTTCAAGGGTAGACACTGAATAGGCAGGTGGATATTCAACTGAAGAGCTCATAATCAGGGCTGGGAATAAATCTGGGGATTCATTAGCATGTAGATAGTATTTAAGATGATGATGCTAGAAGATGCCACCTAGGCAAAAGTGCTAATAGAGAATAACAGAGTATGCAGTACACTGTGTACAGAACAACCCAATTTTTGGAGAGTTGGCAGGAGAAGAAGAACCAGCAATGAAGACAGAGGTATTTAGGAAGGATGGCTGGAAAATGCAACATCCCAGAAACCTAGAAAATGTCTTCAAGAGGGAGGATGTGTGCAACCGTGTGAAATGCCAAGAAAGCAACAGATGGTCAGTGGTAGCCTTGGTAACGCATATTTTATTTAAGTGGTGAGAATAACAGCCAGATTGGATTGCATGCAAGGAAAACAAGATGGAAATAGTGAAAATAGACAATGATTTTAAGGAATTGCATAGAGAAGTGAAGCAGAGAAATGTGATAGGAGCTAGAGAGGAAATAGGACCACAGGGAGGGATTTTTAAAGCATGATTGATATTAAGGAAGGCCGATATGCCAATGGGGATAACATGGTAGTGAGAGAGGGGAAAATTCACCATGTTGAACATGGAGACGAATAAATTCCTGAGTAAAATCCTGTAGGTGATAGGGAATGGGATTCAGAGCATAAGTAGAAGCATTTCACTTAGATGGACAGAAGGAAGGACACATCTTTCTTTGTATATTAGTAGGAGGGAGAGTAGGACAGGTGAGTAGAGGAGATGTGGATAAATTGAGGGATTTTGTTATCAAAAATATTAAATACTTCTTATGCAAAAAATATTATAAGAAAAAGAAGTCTCATTGCCCTAAGGGAAAACACAAGAACCAGGGGGTATCTGGTAGCTACTTTCAAGTATTTGAAGATACCCTTTCATTAACAGCAGTTATAAGCTGTTCATCTTGCCAGATGCCATTCTAGATAGTGGAAATACAAAGATGAAAGACATCTTCCCCATTCTAATTCAGCTTCCTGTAAAATAAACATAATTAATATACAACACAATAATTGTTTACATGGGGGTATTTACATATAAGAATAGAAACATAGGGAAAGTCATAATGAAGTCATGGAAGAATTCATGGGGGCTTTTATCAGGAAAGGTATTAGATGTTTTCTGTATGGTCTTGATGCAGGAAATACGTACCAATGCCTAGAATGTACATACTTTATGGTACACAGAATTGTCCAAGAATGCCTTCGAATGTGTAAGTTCCCAATAAATGGAGAGGATGGTAATAACAGAGATATTGTAAGTGGTGTTCAAATATCTGAGTAGTGATTTCACTAGGCTAGATGAACATTAGACTTCCTTCCAAATCTGAGATTCTGTGTTTATGTTACTCTAATATGTTGGATCTGAATGATTAGTCAATGCTGTGAGCACTAACAGAAGCAGAAATTTATGGTAGGATCAGTAAGAAGCAGAAAGAAAAACGGGGCTATCCATTTTTCTGATATGAAACAATTTTCTAATTTAATTAAACTTTTCAATGGAATGGCACTATGCATTCCTCAGAAATAATAGCCCTGCCAAAAGATTTGCATGCTTGCAAGCCAGCAGATATTACTGCCTTTTTTTTTTTTTTTCTCTTTCAGCTCCTCAGGAAACCCAGTGTGTCCAACACAACAAGTTGAAGCTTTGCCCTCGTGACCATTTTCATAAACTGAAGACAAAAAAGGCAGATGAGGTGATATGCTTTGGCATAGGGGGGATACAAGATTGGCCATTTAGACAAGACATTGGGGACTTACTAGGACATTTTAGTTCTTGTCACAAATGCATTAAGATCAGGACAAAGGGCATAAGATGTTATCTAATCAAGTGGTCTTTACATTACCTTTCCTGTTTCTTTAATCCTGGAACACACACTAAACTCCTCTCCACCGCCTGACCAAAGCCAAGTTCCCATAGTGAACACTAAGACTTGGTCCATATTTCAGTCTAGGATTTTGTTTCTTTCCTCATGAAGGTGTATTTCTATTCCCAAGCTTTCTGTTCACCCACTTTGTAATTATGCCGACCTGTTTTGTATGAACTTTGGAGGCAAAAGGGAGGAGCCTAGGGCAAATCATTCTGTGTCTGTTAATTACAGATCTATCCAGTGATGGAGAAGGAAGGCCGAACACGCCTGGCCCTCATCATCTGCAACAAAGAATTCACGCATCTCCCTAATCGGTATGGTTCTGAAATTGACCTTTTGGGGATGCAAGACCTGCTTGAAAACCTTGGCTACTCAGTGATTGTAAAAGAGAATCTGACAGCTCAGGTAATGGCCCCAGAGAGAGGCAAACTTGTTTACCTTTTAAACAGTTTTCAACATCTTCCCTGGCAGCAGCAAGAACAAAATATATGATATTACAGGACTTAAATTTACTCCAGAGTAGAATCTCTTGTATTTCAGCCTTCTTCAATGCAAAGTCTCATAGCCAAGATTTAGAGAAATTCTATCTAGCTGTATTTTATTAACAATGTAGGGCCTTTCTAAAGTTCTCAATCTGGAAATGTCTATTACTTGATGGTCTGGGTGAGACGAAGGCTCTGGACACTAAAATTGCCTGATACCTACGGAATGAGCTTGTGAGACCTTTATAATGTCAATATCATGTGTCTAAGTGCAAAGGCAGATATATGGTAAAAAAAAAAAAAAATCACACATATACATATAAAGAAAAAATTTCAATTTTAGCTCTGCTCTAGGTGACTTTAGAAAAACCATTTTAAACCTAACTTTCTGCTGTTCAGGTGAAGGAATTTGGTGTTTCTAATTTTTGTAAATAGAAAAGTATCTGTTTCTCTCTCTCTCTCTCTCTCCCTTCTCTGTCTCTCATTCTTTCTCTCTCTCTCTCTTTTTAAAAAAATTGTACAGGAACCCCATTGTAAAACAGATTAAAGCAACTTGGTCTGATTGGCATCTTGCCATCTCACTCACCCTTCATTTTATTCCATCTCTCTGCATCTTCAGAAATCTGAGGCTCTGTTGAAAACCACTGGGCTAGATGCTATATAAAAATCCTACTAACTTTCATGTTCTATACATCTAAATGTTCTGGTTTTATGTCACAACACTTTTTTCTCTTATAATTCTATTCAGTCCAAATCACCTGATTCCTCAGTGCCGGTTCATTTTTGTGAACTCCGTCTGCTATTTGAGCACAAACTATGCATGGCGAGACCCTCGATAGTGACTCTAGATTAATCTCTTTCAGCAAATGGAAACAGAACTGAAGGAGTTTGCTGCCCGCCAAGAGCACCAGTCCTCAGACAGCACATTCCTGGTATTTATGTCCCACGGCATCCTGGACGGGATCTGTGGGACAAAGCACAGAGTCCACGAGCCAGATGTTCTTCCGGACGACACCATCTTCACGATCTTCAACAATCGCAACTGCCGGAGTCTGAAAGACAAACCCAAGATCATCATCATGCAGGCCTGCCGAGGCAGTGAGTCTCGCATTACAAAGTTATAAATCTCGATTTGGGGATCCAAAGGAAATGGGGTTCCATCTACATTTGTCCCAGGCTTGTCCCTTTTGCCTCCAAAGTTCATCCAAAACAGGCCAACATCATTATAAAGTGGGTGAACAGAAAGCTTGGGAATAGAAATACACCCTCATGCACTTATTCTGCTGCTGGCCTGTTGTTTAGCCTTCATTTTCCCAGGGATGGCTGAGGGAAACAACATTTCAGTATCACTTTTAGGTCCAGCCCAGAAAAAAAAAATGTATTATCTACATCATTTCTTTTAAAAAATGAAAAGTAGCCTAGAATAATGAGAAATGTCCCAAACAATTGGGGCTATGTTGGCAACATGGTTATTCTAAACTTAGGTGCTCTCTGTATTGTTCCCTGTCAGTGAGGCAGTTTTTCTAATAGTAAGATACTTGCATTTTTAATGGATGCCATTAAATGTACTACAGCAGTCCCCAACCGTTTTTTTTTTTGGCACCAAGGATGGGTTTCTCAGAAGACAGTTTTTCCACAGACGGGGAGGTGGGTGGGGGTGGGGCAGAGCTCGGGGGGTGATGGCAGCAATGGGGAGCGGCTGTAAACACAGATGCAACTTCGCGCCCTGGCCCGCCCCTCGCCTCCTGCTCTGCCACCCGTTCCTAATAGGCTACTGACTGGTACTGGTTGGTCACCCACAGGTTGGGGACCGCAGTACTAAAGTAAAGCTGTAATGGTAAAAGACACATGCTGTATGTATGTGTGCATGTGTGCCCGTGTGTGTAAATATCACATCATGCATCGAATGTCATACATGTCTCTCCCAGGAGGTATCGGGATGGTTTGGGTGGCCGCAGACTCGGGAGAAACCACTGCAGACACGCACGGCCGGCTCCTGCAGCAGCGCTGCGTCTGGAACGATGCCATTACAAAGGCCCACGTGGAGAAGGACTTCATTGCTTTCAAATCTTCAACACCACGTAAGTGACTTCAGAGAGGAGAATGTCTAAATCATCTGTTAGTCTCTGGATAACAGGCTTGGCTATGATCATGTCACTGATAGGAGTGTTTCTTCTCTAGTGGTATATTTTAGGTGGAGGGCAGATTTAAAATAGTGAGATTTTCATGATTAGAAAACTATAAATCTTGATTTGGGAGAGGCTTTCAAAGTGAGCAGGAATTTGGTGAGGATCCTGACTCGGAATAGTCTAACTACAAAAAATGAAGAGTTTTTTTTTGTTTTGTTTTGTTTTTAAAACATAGCACAGAAATGCATTATTTTTTCACTATTCGGCCCCCAGATCACCTACCTACTAGCAATGAAAAAAGCCGACCAGTGAAACTGTTATGCTTGCTCCATGTAACCTAGAGCCTTTCGGTCTGTTTTTTGAATCTAGTCTTGGGAAATTTGTTAACATTTAAATGCCTACCTTCAGGATGGTGCATGCAATGATTCCAGCCTTCTTTGGCCAGAAACTCATAGTAGCAGGTAGAAATAGAGAATATTCTTATTCATTCATGGTCAATCTGGTAAAAAAATCTCTTTAACAGTCATCCACAATATTGTTCTATCAATGGTTTAGATAACAAGGGAAATTTTTAAAACCTGGTTTATACAATTCCCAGTTGTAAGTGTTCTTGTATAGTAAATACAAACGTTAATGTGTATAGAAATCACTGTGGCGGGGAGGGGGTGTTAAAATGTAGACTTCTTATTCAGTAGTCTGGGGTGGGTCCTGAGATTCTGCCTTTCTGAAAAGCTCCGTGGTGATGGCAGTGCTGCTGGCTGGGACATGGCTGCCTGTGAGTTCTAGGGACCAGAGGACTCTCCGAGTCTAGCCTAGGGAAGAGGAATCAGGCTATGCAGGCAATTCCCACCCCACAACTGGTATAACTCTACTTCTATTCATTTTATCTATTGGAGTTTTAATAAAATTTTATTTGAAAGAACAGCTCTATACTTTTAGCTATGAATGGGTGTTAAAAAGGCATATAAGGCCTGATTTGATTATTTAATTTAGTTGAGGAAATATAGTCTATGCAAAATTCTTGCTTTTTTTTTTTTTTTTTTTTTAGTATACGTAATTGTATGCTAGGTGCAGGGCTAGCTTCAGGGCATATTGTGCACAATTAAAGCAGACATGGTTACTGAACCTTATGGAGTTTATAGTCAGGCCAGTAAGGCAGAAGTTAACTGGGTGGAAAAACACAGGCATGATATAACAGAAATAAATAACAATTGTCAATTGTGATAAAAGCTTTTTTAAAGAAAAATTTGTACTCACACTTCAAAAACAAAGGAGTTAACCATGTCAAGGGAAGGAGAGGAACATTCTAGGCAGGAAAAGCAGTGTGCATGCAGGACCTGAAGGCAGAAAGGAGTATAGAAGAGAGGGCCAGGTGGCTGGAGCACAGAGCCAGGAAGGATCCCAGGAGGGGGATAGAGGGCCAGGCAGGGGCCAAAACTTCTGAAGCCTCTTCTGGTCCTTCATACTAATAGTACTAGGCAATTCTGGTAAGATTTAAACAATGAAATGACAATATTTTCATTTCTAAATGATCACTCTAAGGAATGGATTATAGTATGCCAAAAGCAGATATAGGCAGACAGGTTAGGGTACCTTTGCAATATAAGCCGTAGGTGATAAAGATAGTCTTGGGATGAGGTTAGTTGTTGAATCCAAGAAATAATTAGTATATAAAATTAATATGACCTGGTGGTTTGGTTGATATGGTGGGTGAACCAGAAGGGATGACAGAGGTGACTTTAGTGTACAAGTAGGGGATTGTGGTATAGTCATTAAAATGGGTGTCCCATGGGCAGGTTTGAGATGCCGTTGGTGCATTTCAAGATGAAATGAAGAGTAGAGAGTTGCACAGTTGTATTTTTCAGAGGAAAGATCTGCATTAAAGATAGAATTTTGGGAGATTCTGACCAAGAATGGTATTTAATATGCTAAAAATGTATGCAACCACCTAGGAATTAAGATTAGTGTGAGAAAGTGTGCTAAAGCCAAAGTTGGAGGAACTGCAGAGTTCAACGTCAGGCATAGAAACATTAGCTACCAGATATGACACACACAGAAGGGTCAGAGAATAAGAAAGAGAACTGGGAGTATGTGTTATCAGAATTACCAACAAAGAGTCTGTTGGACTTTCAAGCAATTTCTGATGGGAATGAGAGACCACATGAAGGTGAGGCCTGATGAATGATCATGAGTTGTAGTGACTTGGAGGACATGGCAACCTTGGGGAGAACCATTTGGTAAAGTTGGTGTCAGAGATAGGAGGAAGAAACCAGACAGGAGTGAGCAGGATAGAAGGAAGTGGGATAGTGAGAACAGACAAATTTGAACATTCTGAGTGTGAAAAGAAAGGAGAATTACAAACCCAGCTACAGAAAAAAGTGGGAATGAGAATAATATTACTCATTTTTTTTAAATGATGGAACAGACTTGATCACATTGACATGGTAAAGAGAAGTAGTCATTCAAAAATATTTTATATAACATAACAGTAAATGAAAATTTTGGTATGAAACAAGTTTGCATAAGAGGAGGCGTAGAATAAAGGAATGTCATGAGGCAGATTCTTTCTTTCTTTCTTTTTTTTTTTTTTCCTATTATGTAATTAGTGGTGAAGGACTTTTCTCTTTCCTACCACTTGAGATCCTAGAAGCCATAACTTTAGTCTTGCCCACTAAAACTGTCAAGGGAATTTATGATTGAGGGTCCCTGATGATTTTCTCTGGGCCTGTTATGGAAACCTGAGTTACTATCTTTCTTCAGCTTTGGGTTTTGGCTCTTCCCCAAAAGCCCTAAAACCAGAATTTGTCCCAACAATATGGCTCTGGGAATCCTCCACACTTACACAAAGGCCACATGTGTTAATATTTTGATACCTCTTATTTGCAGATAATATTTCTTGGAGGCTTGACCTAAATGGATCACTCTTCATTTCCCAACTTATCTACTACTTCAAAGAGTATTCTTGGTGCAATCATTTAGAGGAAATTTTTCGAAAGGTAGTGATATCCTTTTCTTTTCAATTTTATGCTCCAGAAAGCTTTGTAGAGCCATTAGCAAACTTCTGTAGGGAATCCTCAGGCTCTTAAGTCATTTTGATGTACCTTCCTATACTCCAAGTGTATTTTAAGGGAAACTGTTCAGAAATACTACATAGAACCTGTGTGGATTTTCCAAAGAACCTGATTCCAATAGCTTTGCTCACCCAGTGAATTCTTTTTAGGGTGCTAACTCATTTGTATATGCACTATACCCAATGAAAAACTAAAAATATCTTCTGTTTATGCTACGTAGCTACAGCCTTAGTACACACTATGAATTTTCTCCCCCCTGAGAAAATAGTCCAGATTTTCCTTTTAGAAAATCTCTAAAGGCTTTCTTTACTACTTTAGGTTCAACATTCATTTGAGACGCCAAATATACTAACCCAGATGCCCACCATTGAAAGAGTATCCATGACACGATATTTCTACCTCTTCCCTGGGAATTAAAACTCACTAGAAGGACTACAGGTAAATGCATCTATCCTAGAAGTGGGTGTGGGTATTCCCTGCTCAGAGACTATACAGAGAGTATGGATAGAATGGAGGATGATGATGGAGTGCTGGCTGCCCATTAGTTACTGAGGCTCATGTTACTGCCTTTTCTTAGTGGCCTTTAGTGTAACCCTGGTCTAATTTGACTTCAGCCAGAGTATAATGGGTGTATAAAAAATGGCAAGTTCAGTGGCAGCCAGTTGAAGAAAGCTTTAGTTCTAATTTCCTTCAAGGACCTTCTCAGTGAGTGGAGAATATTTGCTTCTGGTGCATGCACAATATAAAATAATTGGAAATGTTATGTATATCAGGTATTTTTCCTCCTCACCAAAAAGTCAGTTTGGCTGAGTCACATCCTTCCCTGTTTATGATGAGGCTTGCCTATACCACAATGTCAGCTAACCACCTGCTGAATCTATGCTGAGGCAATGAAGCCTTAATACAGATCTTCCCATTTGGGGATGACAGGTCCATAGCCCTTGTATAAAGGTATTTCTCACAATAGAGATTAGTTCTATTTATATCTTACCTCTAATAGCCCAATTATTCATATTCTCTTATCTCTACTTTTTCTAGGATAATGGAGGCATCATGGTCTCTATGAATCTACTATTTTTAAAAAGTTAATTTTTGATCAAGAGCATTTTTATACCAAACTTCTCAACTGCCCATCCTCCACAAACACCAGACTAAAATAACTCCCATATTGTTACTGAAGTAATGCTTAATAAATTCTTTTAAAAATATGCTTGTTTGCTCATTTTTTCCTAAAAGTAAGTCATGCTCATTGAAGAAAAATAATTTAAGTATAAAAGGCATAGAAAGAAAGAACTTTTAGTGAATAGTTATTGTTAACTCTTTTGAAACTCTATTTGTAAAAAACTCATTTTTATATAGCTTATTCATTTTGTATATGCAATTTTGTCTATATCTTTTATTATTTTATGATAACCATTACTACTAGTAATAAAAATGTCCTAAATATAATTTGTTATTTTATAATAACAGGCATATATAGTACATACTATTTGACTTTTACTCTACTTTTAAATGTTATTTTCAATGCTTTTTTCCTGTGTACCATGTGATGATGGATATATTTATGCTTTGTCTTTTGTCTAGGCTTAGGTGTATTTTCTTAGAATGTGTTCCTAAAAGGGAAATTACTAGATGCAAGTATAAATGCTTTACATCTTTTGATAAATTATTGTCAATATTCTATGCCAAATTATATGCATATAAGAAATTTAAAATAATGACTGATAGGTAGAGAATGTCTCCTTTTAAAACTGTTACTAATTTAATTGGTAAAAGTAGTCAATGTCATTGGCATAATTGATTGAACTTTCTAACATCTTTTTTAGCTAGTTTTTTTGTGTGAATTATTATTTTTCTATTATATTTCAAGTTTTATATGTTTTCCTAACCAATTGTATAAATTTTTATATATAAAAATCATATTTGGTCATGACCGTATGACATTTTTTAGTCGTTCGATACTAAATTTTGTGTATGATATTCTGTGACATATAGAATGTTCAGATTTTCAGTAATGAAATCTGTTTACGTTTCCTTCTATGTTTGCTTCTAATTTTTTAAGTTTAAATATTATATTACCACCTTTAATTTCTTACAATTATTTTTAAGGTGTTTTAAAATACCTTATCCTTCTATACATTGTATGGATTTACCTTTCTCTAAAGGATATAAATTTGTCATGAACTGTGAAATGAGGATATTACTGATTTTTTTCAATGGATTATCAATTTTCAAAGATATACCATTTGAATGATACTTCTTTTTCTTACTGATTGTCACATTGCCTTTAACATTAATTTGGGAGGTGGTATGGGCTGTTTTTGGAGAATATATAAGAAAGATACTAAACTCTTGTATCTACTTTAAAAAATTTTTTTGCTACAACGGGTTGAAACCCACTCAAAGTAGCTTCACAAAAAATTGACATAAGCATACAACAGGGAATCTGATATTCCTCCATGGTAGAAAACAAAAAATTACTGGAAATCTGATCTAAACAATGAAAAATCAGGTAATCATTTTCTCTGAATAGCATCTTCATTATGTAATGACTCCTGTTAAACCCTACCTTTAAAAATTACTAATTATGATACTTTCATTAAATTAGTTAACTTCTCTGATACTAGTTTCCAGGTATGAAGTGTGTACACTAAACCTGACTCATATTGAGCAGGTGCAATATTATGTGCATGTAGTGCCTCCCTTTTTCACAGCCTGTCACATAGTGGGCAACTGTTTGTGGTAGAAATTATTACTGTTACTTACATACATTGCTTTATCCAAAATGGCTTATGCTGTATCGCATTGTTAACTATCGCTTGATAATCTTCATTAGTCCTCTCTTGTTCACTCTTTCCTTGTTTTCTCTCATACAGTACATGCTTTCAGGTGAATTGTATTAATAGAATGATTTTATAAGTGTTCTGATAATTAAAGTATAACCTTAATAGGAATTAAATAAGTACATTTGATCATCTAGAACCATGTTTTATCAATTCATTAAGTCATATATTATTTTATATCTTTAAACGAAGATTCTTTTTCATAACTTCCTCAACTTTTTGGATAAGGGTATTCCTAGACATATGTTATATTTTGTTACTATTTGATTTGAGAATATTTTTCCTCTATAGTTTCTGATTATTGCTGTAAGAGTACAGAAAATTAAAATGACAGGTTCCCTTGATTCTTAAATATGTATAAAACTTGTGTTTAGCAGCTTTATTGAACATTCAGTGATCTGGAGAACTTTGACTTGTTTTATCTCTTAAAAATTTTATATGTAAAATTTAATATCTGCAAATTATAGATTTGTTTCTTCCTCACCAATATTCACAGTATTTGTTTTATATTCATGATGTTTTATATTTATCATATCTCTAGATAAAATAGCCAATTAAAAGAATGATAATGGTCACTCTAATTTATTATTTTAATATAAATGCCTCTAGTATTTCATCATTAAATATATTTCCTGTTGATTTAAGCTATTTTTTTAATAATAATAATACAATATATATTTACATTGCTATTTTTCAAATGGTTTGTCTTCCTCTCAGGGATGAATGTTATTTAAAGCCCCCATGTAAAACATAATAGAATAAATGGAAAGTATAATCTTTATATTTAGACTATTGATATGTTTATATTAATAAACGGTCTAATATAAAGCAGTGATTACATTCTTAGTATGACATCATTTTCATGTAGATTATTTATTTAGTCTATACTTGAAATAATTGTGCTAAAATTTGACTTAGAAATCCCATATTTATATTTATAGATGAGATTCTCATCTATCTTGATTTATTTTTTTAACAAATAGTTATAAATTATTTAATGCTTGATGAACGAAGGAAAATAAATCACAAAACCAAATAGTATGAACTCACTTGAGGAAAATAAAGAATAATGACCCCACAATTTTGTTGTCTGTTTTAGTAATGAAACTTGTTCATAGAATATTTGTAATAGTAGTTTTCAGTGAATTACAAGTAGTGTTTTTTATGAACCTTAAAATCTATTAAAATGTTTTATAAATGTTTTATAAAACCTTAAAATCTCTTAAAATGTTTTATACCTGAGTTCACTGATAATTTCAGTTATATATACATATAAAAGCCAGTCTAAATGTATACCTAGGTAGTAACTTTTAAAAACTATCAAAATGCTTGTTTTTTAAATTACCAATATATGTCTGCATATGTATATAAACTTTCAATCTAGATGAAGGCCTACTTATGCAAAAACTAAAACCTCTTTATTTTGTTTTAATCTTGAGAGCATTAGCAGTTATGTAAAAATATCCAATTAGAACTGAAAGTTATAAAGAGGGAAGTGAAAATCACCCAGGTTCCTCAAGATGATTTATGTTCTCTAATTTCCATCTTGCTGTCTCTCTCTTTCTCCCCATATACGAACTTGCAGATATATTTAGAAACATACTGTACAAACTATGTTATGACCTGCGTTATAATTTTTCTTAAAAATAATCCCCTTAGGATTAAAGTGAATAAAAGATATGTAAAGAATCAGTGATATAAACAGTGTAAATTCAAAAGCTTTGGGAAAGATGGTCTATGGCAGAGTTGGGGGTTTCCTGATGTCTGCACCCAAGGCTGTCATTCTGTGAGTGTGTGAGTATCTTCCTTTCAAAGGTTACCTCTTGGTCCCAGATGGCTGCTGGAGCTCCAGCCATTACCATCATTAAAAGCACACTAGCCAGCAAGAAGAAAGAAGAGAGGAAAAAAGCACATCTCCCACCATTTTAGGGAACCATTAATGCTTATAAGCCAGTTAGCCAGAATTTAGTCACAGCACAACTCTCAGGTAAAATGAGGGTGAGAAATAAAATGTTTACTGCATGTTGCCACATGCCTAGCTAAAAATTGTCAATTCTGTTAGGAACAGGAAAGAACAATATTGGATCTCAACTGACTGTCTCTGCTGTACATTGCTTCCATATTATTATAATAATTGTTGCTTAGTATTCCTTGAAAAGAACATACCAGATTGATTTTACTAATTTAGGTAATTTCCAACTTTATTTTCTTAAGAATTGTTATTTAATATAATAAAAATTCCCTGTACATATATCTTCAAATTTGTGTCTGAAAATATTATTGGAATAAACTCTCAGATCTGACATGACACTGTCAAAAGCATTATAATTTAAATTTTCTATGTAAGGTATTGTTCAGCAAATTGTCCAAATGGGCATTCCCCGTGAGCAGAATATGATAAGGCTTATTCTCTTACATTTTTACCAATGTGATGTATAATCAATCTTGTTAATTTGTCAAGCCAAAACCAAAATCACTTTAAATCATATTTCTTTGCTTTGTAAATTGGTTAAGCATCCTTCCATATGCTCATTGGTGACTGTATGCCAGTTAAATATTAGCCGGGGTCTCCGCTTGCCCACAGGTTCTACATAAGGTTGCCTTAGACTTAGAGAAACTGATTCCTGGGCTACCTCTCTGGCTTCAAATTCCATCAAATCCCATCAGTCTGTTCCTCTTACCTGATAAGCACATTCTCATGTCAGAATTTGCTGCCCTGTCTCCCTAAAATGATGCCCCTTCTCATTGCCATCCTCACGTGACTTGCTACTGTACTTATTTCAGCCTTTATTGGCAAAATCTAACATGAAATTAGTTGACCAAGGAAAAAATAGGATTTGCAGAATTCCAGCCCCAACATCCAAGACTGGAGCGTAGGAAAGGTGAAACTGAAGGTGATAAATAATAGTTTAATAACTTGTAGAGTGCACTGCTGTGTCCCGTGTAGCTTGTCAAATCATTCTGCTTAGTGCCACGGTAGCATTACCACAAAACCAAAATCAGGTTGTTCATACCTGCAGGATTTTATCAGAAAAAGAGAACCACCTGGAAGCTGGTTAAATGGCCAAGTGAGGCTGATGTTTCTGTGTCTATGGCCGGAGCCTGACAGTCACACGGTAAGCTAAAGGTAAGTGAAGAGGCACTTGATGTGAAGGAAGCAAGACAAGCTGAAACCTGTGAGAATCAGCTAGAAATCAAGAAAATGGACCAAACTCTTGCCAGTCTCTCATTTGTTTCCACACCTCCAACTTTGGAGATGGATGTGTCCCTCAAGAGAAGCTAATGCTCAACTCATAACTGGAGTTTTAAATATTCATCTGACTCAGGAGTCAAAGAAGCTGAAGGACAAACTCTGCTGGGCCAGG